ATATATTACAAATTATTTTTAACTAAAAAAATTTTTAGTTTAAATAGTTTTAGTTTAAATTTTAGTTTATTAGTTTATTGAGATAATTATGTACGAATACCTTTATTACGATATTTCTATCGCCTATTTTATGTGCTCTAATATGCACGATATGTTTGGCTGAAGTGCCTTTTTCCATATCACCAACAACAATAGATACTTTTGACTCTTTACTAAGCATATTAATACTTAATTCAGCTGAAATACATTGTAGAACAGCTTAGTTGATAAAAAAAAGAATATAAGTGTATAAGAATAGAAAAAATGATCATTTATAAGAAAATAAAAGAAAATAAAATATTGAAAACATGAAAACATACTTGATTGCTCATTGCTACCATCTGATAAAAGTATTATATATAAACAGACTGCATTAACATTCTCATTAGCTGATAAGGATATCGTGATGGGTAGCCACTCGCCTAAAAGCGCAGGATTGTTGGATTCTGCATCTAGACTTAAACTTGATTCTTCTTGTTTAATCTCTGCATGAATTAACGGTCTTATTGCCTCAAACTCGCCTCCACTGTTACAAATAAAAATTATGTTAGTTTTTTTGTCAAATGACTAATAAATACTAAAAACGGAACTTTAAAACTCTATAAATATACCGAAGTTGTTGTATTTCAGGATACAAACGATCCAACAAATTCGTTTCCCTACCCATAGCTGAGAATCTCAACATAATACAACAATGTGCGCTATCACCCATTTGTAAAGAAACTGTGCTAATACGAATTTCTACACCATCATTTTGACGAGGAGCTCTAAAGTTGAAGTAAAGTTTTTTCGTTTCCTTTGCTTGAAAATTAAGATCTGATTGTTGAATCTCATCAATTGGAATCTCAGCATTGTAACCTGGTCCACTGACTGTTATCGATGCATTAGAAAACTCAATGACATTAAAGTAAGAATTCCTACAGAGTTAGAAATAAAATTATATTTAGTAATGTTTAAAATAATTTTTTAATGTATATAATATATATATATATGTATATATATGACAAAAAAGATAAATTTAAATACCTTACGATGACTTCCACTGTTATCATTGTATTCACTGCATATGTTTGTTGCAAAAATCTTGCTTTAAGATCGATAAATGATGTCATATTATTATCATCAATTGTAAAAATACTTGGCTCCGAATGATTTAGTTCCAACATCCATTTCTCCATGGCAAGATGCTTAATATCGTCTGGCAAATCTGGTTCTGGATTCGGTGGTTTTTTCTAGTATCAAATGTCAAGCCGTTTTTTTTTAATTTTTTTATATCAAATAAATAATAAACTTTCATTTACTTATATAATAATCATTATATATAGCCAGTATAGCGAAACATAAATAAACGCCTTATCGAACTAACCTGTAGTATATTCATAATATTGTTATAAATAATAGCTTGTCGTTCTTCTGAGAATGTAGTTGAAGGCCCTAAAGCTTCGAGAGCCAAAGTGAGATAGTCTTGAATACTGGTCGATAAATATGCAGCTCGCAGCGCATTTTTTAAGATATCAGTGAGTAAAACTGGCCATCGTTCTCCATGATATTCCCACAACATGTGCATCAATAATCTGATCAATTAAATTTTAAAATTTCTATTAACAAAGTTAGTCTAAAGAAAATAATGAAAGAATTATTAATTTTAGCGTTAAAGGACAAAGGTCTTTTTACTGAAGGCTTTTATCATATCAAGCAGAGAGAAAAGATTAATTAACTTACGTAAGAACTTTGCCATAATCCCGAGCATTAAAATATTCTTCTGCCATTTGTACGACTGTAAAAAAAAAGAAAAAAAATTTTATTTTATGAGTATATTATAAATACGTTACAAATAATTTTTATCTCTATATTTCCAAAGGCAAATTATCTACCTAGTAATCGCCGCATTCTTGGACAACGATATATCTTGAATTGTGATATCGCATTTCCTAGTAAACTAATAATTATCATCTGAAAAGGAATGCAAATATTTTACAATAATTTATTTATCATATATTGATTTAAAAGTACATAGATATATATATATATATATATAATTATCTTACAGAATGATTAACTGTAGTTTTTTCCCTGTATTGTAAAGCTTGTATGCCGATAACTTCTCGAGCTGTGTCTGCTGGTTCTGCGCTCAATTTCCCAGGTCTCCATGGCCGTTGACCATAAAATTCAAGTTTCTCTTCACCCAGTAATGGATCTGGATCTGGATAGCTGCTTATATGCTAACAAAATATTGAAACTCAAGTAATAATCAGTTATAATATAATCAAAAAATGTAATGTATTTGTTAGAAAACTAAGTTTTTCGTACGTACTTGGCAGAGTTCTTTACACGCAGATTGTCGTAAGCTTGCGTGATTAGCAGCTAATTGGAAGTAATATCCTGGATGTTGCGTTTGAACAGCAGGTAATCCTTGACGAATAGCCTCATCAAATAATTCTGCAAATGTAGAAAACTGGCTGCTCATCCAAGCATGATGTTCAAACATAAGTTCCTTTGGACCAGTTTTTAGTTTAAATCTAATAATAAAAATTAATCAATCATTACTGTTGGAAATTTGAAATTTGTGTAAATCATTGCAGTAAATATTTATACCTTTCTGTGTGAAGTCTAAATTGAGAAATGGCATCTTTAGGAAGATTTAAACTAAACATTATTCTGCACAATTTATAATTTATAAAACCAGCAACAGTTTTTATTTCTACTGCGTTTGCATCTGTCATTCTTATTTCTAGGAGATTGTGATAAGCTTGCATATAATGCCTGCAACATTTATATGTACATATACATATACATATATATATTCTAATACAACTATTCATATTTTTAATCTTACTTTTGAGCAAGATGCAGCTCCTGCTTGAGTTCATTCAAGAATGCCATTTTAAATTGATGTCGAACAAATAAATATTGATGAACATTCTTAGTGAGCTGATCGCGATGACTTTTAACATTTCGATATTCATGATGATAAAGATTTTGTGCCAAATCATAGAATGCCGTCTCTAGCCTACAGTAAACAAAACTATTATTTCCTTTAAAAATAGAAAAATGGAAAAATGAAAAATTATAAAATTAAAAACCTAGATATATATCCTAATAAGTGATCAGCATGTGGTAAAATATATAAAAGCTTTGCTGTTAAATCACAAGCTCCACACAATGCTGTTGCACGCTCAGTTGCAACTACATCTTCAGCACCAGGAAGCGGTTGAACAGCATGTTGTATCAATACTACAGCTATTTTCGTACTTCTTCCATCAAGGGCAGCTCTAACAGAGATATCGTATCACTAGGTTTAATGCATCAATAATACAATAATATTAAATATTCTAAATAGATTATAAAATGTCACCTTAAAGATTGTACCCTAGAAGCACACTCCATCTTTTTCTCATTCCATAAAGGATCATTCCAGTCTAAATCATAGAACGCAACAACTACTGAAGGAATGTCATTGAGATATTTGTTCATCCAGTTTCGTTTTAAAATTCCTTTAGGTATGTACCATTCATACGAACTACGCTAAAACGTATAAAAATAATACATAGCAATATCAGATAAATAGCATCAATTGGATACTATCTTCACAAATGTGTCTCAGCAAAATTACATCTTTGATCATTGATTATATATCATCAAACATACCTTTGGTTTGACAGTAGGAAATTCATGTGTCAAACTAAGAAGTTTAAACTGAACGGCTGCACAATCTGGTCTACGATTATTGCTGAATGCATCCCAGATAGAGCGATGTACTGGATTTGCAATGTCTAATCCAGTCAAACCTATCAAAGCTAAAGGTTTAGCTACTAATTCTGCTGGCAACTCAAACATCATAAAACTTTTACACACTGGAAAAATAAGTAACAATCAATATACAATAACTTTATAAGTTTTTAGCGCGTTATTATTTAGAAATTTCTTCTTTCAAAAAATCCTTCAATATTATTTACAGAATTTTTAATAATATTTCTTATCCAAATAATATCTGAATCTACTTACGAACAAATTATATGGAATAACACGTTATTAGGATGCGAATTGTTTTGCGATTAGACACTGTAATTGATATATATGATCATTTTGCACTTTGACAGTTCAGATGTAGGTTATAAATTATCATCAGCAAAAACTTACACGTTAGGTTAGAATTCGTGTGAAAACACGTACTTAACGTACTACGGTGAACGCATAGTCGGTATCGGGTGTAGTCGCAGTGCTCGCGAGTCGCAGTGGAGCTTGTTTCCTCTGCACCTATATACGTTGTATGTATGTACATACTTTCCACACTTAAAATAAGACAGATATGAGAAAAACATAATAAATGAAAAGCAAAAAAGTTCAGTTACAAAAAAAATTTATCGAACGGGATACAGAAGAAGAGAAGATCGAGTCGCGATATCGGTTTTTAAATTTAAGGGGGTATTCGAGTCTAGAAGTTTGAAAAAAATTGATTTTTTTGCATTTTCTTAAACTACATGTCATTGAAAATATGTCTGTACAAGGAATTTATCATATTTATAAAATTGAAGAAGTTATAGCACCTTAAAGCGAACAGCGCAGGTATCGATTAAGGGTTGGCGAAAAACTTTAAACGTTAAGATGAAACTTTAAAAATTAAGATGAATTACCTTTATATAAAAATTTATTAATTGCGATACAGGATCGAGAAAAAGCATTAATATTGATTTTTAAATTTACATCAATTTATTATTAAAATTTTAAGTTTATATATTATAATACAGAAATATATATATATATGTGTGTGTGTATATATTACGTATAATTATTGATATAATACAGAATTATAATATACACGAAATTCATCCATTAAGCTATTAGATATAATTAATTAATATACACATACAGAATTCCATTATGGACGCATATCAGAAATATACAATATAATTAATATAAATACAAATATACATGTAACAAATACAAATGATCGATTGCCTTTGACCTTAGCGCGCAACGTATAATTATGTGACAGCACGGTGTTCTAACATAAAAGTAGTAGCCTCCGACGGATGTGCGTCTTCTTCCATTCTAATTTCTTTGGTCGGCGACTCGGGGGAATTCAATTTCGTACGCTCCGGTGTCAATCGAATAGTAGTGCCATGCCGACTGTAATCCTCGATCTCGCCTATTGGCTGATCAACGTCTTGCCCTACGTTTTCGTTACATTTTCCCTGTTCGCAAAAATTAATTAATCAAATTGTAAGTACTCTCATTAGTTGCGAATATTTTCCTGTAATTATAAATTATAATTTATTTATATTTAAAAGCTATTAACAAGCTTAATCGGAGCTTTATATTACCTTTTTATAGCTACGGCCTATTTAAAACGTAATTTCATTATAATGCTTTAAAAAATCCTTTATACACAAATACATTCTATAAAATCTTATTACTCAAAAATATTGTGTAATAATCTTATTGCACAAATAATATTGAAGGGTTGAAAGAAAAGAAATTTCTATAACAGATTTTCAAATGAAAATTGTTATAATCAATGAATGCGTGCTCACTTGTAGAAATCTCAGCAATTCTCTTCGAAATTCTGTACTGCAGGCGAGATATATGAGAATGTAAATGGCATAATTGCTGAGTTCGACAATCGTCGAATACACGCGGAACGTTTGGTAACGAAGGTCCAATGGATGACGATCGGTATACAGTATAGGGGTAAGACTTGGCGGAACTTCCGTCAAAAAAAAGCATAGAATCATTGTTGTCGTCAATATCGCCAAATGTTGCTCCTCTCTGGAAAGAATAATTTTTATATAATTTTTATATATTCTAGTGGGACCACAGAAATACAATATTTAATCTTTTGTTTTAACTTGTATCCTCGATTGCGAGATAATAATGACGTGTCAGGCGTCTTGTTGGTCCGAAATTTATTTGAAACGGCATGGAATTGTCGGTTTTGCACATTCAGCTGCAGAAACCTCTTAATGACTAGACTATTCAGTACAATGAATACGACCGACGGGAAAATTCGTACTACGATCTCCATTATCCAAATATATGTTCTCCATATCGCAGTTTGCGTAACGAATACATTTTCACGTAATGTAAAAGAAGTGCCGGATTCATCTTGTTCCGCATAAACGATTCTCATTACCGATAGCGGACCACTAATCTATAAACGGAATAAAATGTGCATATATAAAATACGTACAATATATTACATGTATATATTTTTTACATAAAATTATTATATCTATTATTATGTGCATATGTTTGTAATAAAGATTCTCTCGTTATTGTTAAACACGAATAATTAACGGAATTGATCGATTTGTAATGATTCGCGTGCTTTGATTGAAAAATCTACTGACGATCAATCAGCACAAATAATAAACACTATCGCTTATTGATTTTTCCTGTATTGATTTTCTTAATCAATTATTCTAATATAATCGGGCAATATATATATTAACTAAGTGAATCTTATTCGTAAGGGTGTAACAATATAATCATCATCAATAATTATTATAGTCCGATCTTATATTCAAGATTATCTTAATGAGCTAAGTGTGATCATAGATAGTAGTCTTAATTCTATTCAGTCAATAAAATAACTACATTTTATTTCAAGATCGTGTTATGATCTTAAACATATATAAAATTGGATTATGAAACATTGGCTATAGATGGCACTCAATGTTTGATTTGGCACTGAAGTGCCAATAAAAATGATCTTTAATAGCTTTTTATAATAATATAAGAACTATAGATTATTTATAAATAGCTTCGAGAAAGTGAAACATAAAAATATTTATAATAGCAAAGATTATAGTGGAACCAGAATGCTATTAAAAGATTATTCGATATTTTAATGGTTTTAAAAAAATCAAATGCATCTTTCGAAAGAAAAGAAATACGAATGTCATTTTACGTAAAAACAGTTTACCATGAAGCCAGCAATGAAAGAAGATAGTATAAAGGAGTTGACGTTCTTGCGTGTGTTTCCGGTGCGAATACGTGTCGGAAAGAATAAAAAAATGTATCGATCTACAATTAAGCAGACCATAATGAAAACACTAGCGGCCGAGAAGGCGTTGAGAATAACAAGTTCAAGATGAGCATGGTAGAAAGCTGATGGGTAATTATTGCTCATGCCATAACCCAATCTTAACGCTGAAACATATATATTGATTGTCAGATATAATTATATTGTAATACTTTGTTATACACGGCCACTGTGCACTGAGAAAAAAGACTGATTGCGCCATCGTATATATAAGTTAATCGAACAAAAAGTACACACGCTGTGTACAATAATGAGCTATATCGATACAATTAATTAATTGTAATCGAGTACAACTGTCGTGTAAACGATAATATTAATCGACAATGAATCTCAAGTATCGTCGCGATCTAAATTAAATGAGTTAAGTGTCGTCGTCAAATTAATTCGGTTTATTTGTTTGGATGTGGATACAATATCAGTTCTGTGATTTTCTTCAACCAAGCGTTATTTTTTTCTACAGTGCGCACTGTGTCAGAATCGGATTGTACAAACTGATTGTTATCCAAGACAGAATAACACCGATATGCGCCAGCGCAAGTCCACTGAGATACAGGTATGCGATACCGCGAAACACTGGGCCAGATAGCACAACAAAGATCGCCGCATTGCCGAAAATGCCAATGGTTAATATCATCGGAACTATGATACCGTAAGACGTCCACATCAAAGACATCACTTGGCTTCGAGCAATGTCGTCCTCGATAGGTGTACGTTCAATAGTAAAGTTATCATCCTCACAACACAACTGAGTACTGCAAAAAGCATTTTCATTGGGATCTCGTATGTGTAAGAGTCACAGAAAAAAAAAGCGCGCTAGCGGCTAAATTTTATTTAGCCGATGAGGCTAAATATAGATTGTTAAGATCGACTTATTTCTCAACGAATGATGATCTTTAATTAACTGAACTACTTTATTAACGTAACAATAAAGAACAAAACAGACGGAGTTGCTAATGAAGGATTTACTGCGATATACAAACCCGTCGATCACTCCTGTCAGCATTGTACGTTCCGTTGATTGTTAATTATACAAAAATTATACAAATTAAAATTGCCGTTAAAGAACTTGTAAGTACTACCGATTAAGTGATCTAGAAACTTTTTACTGTTTGACGTTTTGTATTTTGTTCACGCACGTCGCCGTCTGTTTCTCTCCTTCTCCCTCTAGCCAGCTGTAAATCTACTTTCAATAAAGACATGATAGACTCTAACAGGTTTACCTGTGACATATCCACCTCATGGGTCTTGCTTCAGAAAAATATACTGCGCAAGTCCCGGGAAGGTAACGACAAGGTGTATGGGAGTTTATTTAAACACGTAATAGACTTAAACCCTTTATTAAGGTCAAACTGCTTGAACAAACAACAGGGTCTATTATTAATTGTTGTTTACGGTCAAATACTTCATCGTGAAAATAATACGGATTATGTAATAAAGTAAGATTCAAATGCAGTTAATTAAACTTATCGTATTTTATAAAATATGCAACCAACATAACTCTTTCTTTATTAAAAAGATTGTCATCTTTCGATCATTTCATTATTGCTTCTTTTCTTATTGAAGACTATTATAAATTCGCTATTTTGATTATCGCAATTGATACCGATACGAATACATTTATTTTCAAATGATTCACGGTAATTATGGAATAAAGGAAAAAAGGAAATTTCAAATTTTCCAACTTCTTCTGTTTTCTAAAAAGGAAAACTTTTGTGTGTGTGTGTGTGTGTGTGTGTGTGTGTGTGTGTGTGTGTAACTCGATATTAAAATTTATGGATTATTATATTTATAAATTATTAAAATTTTTAATGGAAACAGAGAAAGTATAAACACCATTTTTTCAAATTAATCCACTCCATTTTTAAGAGATCTATTTTAGTCTGGAACACAGTTTTCATATTTTAGACGGATACAAACATCTTTGAATATTCCGTAATCTTATCTGAATTGTTTGTGTCCTTTGAAACAATTATGTACCTATAATACGCGTAGTACTGAAAATAATAGTTTCCTTTTTTATAATTTATGAATTATCATTTCCCCTGCATTCGTAATGACTGGAGAAAACACGTCGAAATTTTATTGTTCCTGCCAACCTGTCAATGAAGTTAATTCGACAAAATGTTTAAATTAAATTTATATTATGGACTCTCTAATCTTCCTACATTTTCATCGTCTTATGAATCTTTAGTTCATCTTAGATTCACAAGATACTGTATTCTGTCGAATATATCGAGGAATAACTTCAACGTATGTCAGATAAAAAATATTAAGAAATAAAATTAATTAATCGTTCGATTAAATAAACAGATTCATTATCCGTGATGAACAAATTGTGTGATAGACAAATTCTTATAAATTTTGCCATTTCCCATGAATTTTGTACTTCCAGCAGCCCTATTCTGTAACTCTTAACGCGAGTTTCGTTATCGTTATAACGTCGTTGCGCAACTTTTTTATCATACCGTGTCACAAGTCGTGTCAAAAAAATGTGACGAATTTAAAGGATTCGGTCATTCTAAAAAGAACTTTGTAAGTGATTACGAATAAGCGATGTGAGATAACTGCGAGAAATAATCGGATGCAGCCCAAGTTCCTGTCGCATCGGTTTTGAGAGCTATAGATAATAACAAATTTGTTTATTTCCGCGAAAAGTACAACGTACGTTTGTTGTCTGTAACAAACGGATTGCCTATCAGCACTCGATACGTTCCAAGAAAGGAGATATATATATACAGATAAAAATAAAAAGGATGTTCTCCATTGAATTTAATGATTAATTGAAAAAGTTATGAAAACTTGTTTATCGAATCAGTTTTGTTGTTTTTTTTTAAAACAGAATTGATTTGATAAACAAGTTTTCCGAAAAGGTTTCCTCGTTGAACGATGCAGAAAGAGTCAGCCGGAAAGATCTGACGAAAGAGACGATTGACGTTAACGACGAGCAGCGAGATGAGGACGATGAACGTGGAATCTCGATAGAGATTAATAATCGTGGTGTCAAATTATCGGGATCGGAGTCGAAAGGCGCCGAGCGAGTGGATGCCTATCCATAGCGAGGCGCGATCGATGGTGTCGGTCAACGCCGAAGGAGGATGTCCCCACGACGCGCGACGCGACGTTGGTGGCTAATCTTTCGAGCGGAAAACATTGTCAGAGACATTTCTCTCACCCGATCGCGTTTCCGCTCGGTCGATCGATAAAGACCCACCGGCGAGCGGGTCCAAGACGAGGAACGATAAGGAGCTAATTGCCGTTTTCCCACGGAAACAAAACGGATTCACAATTTATTCATGATATGAAATATAAAAGCAGAGGATAACCCGCAAATTTTTGCGCGAAGAAGATCCGCTTCGACGGAAAAAGACGACCCTCCTCGAGCGACCAGCGTCGAATGGATAGAAATGCCGAAAAATAAACCAGCCTATAAAGACGATACGAGAAGAAGACTATAAGACGATCGATCTACAATCAAAAGAGAGGAAAAAAGAATGCAACGGAAAAATTCAAGAATCTCAGACGATTCGCGTCAAACGATTTCTAACGCTTCTATAAATAAAAAAGGATCTTTTATATATCTGCAATTAACATCGGTCTAACGAAATATGAAAGAATGAATTTGATGACGTAGATGCCAGTATCTCTTGAAAGCCCTTGTAAGATCTTTTTTTTTTAGCCAGGTTACAAAGTCTTAAAAAATTAAAAAATGCATAAGTTGGAGAACATCAGCCCATAATAATTAATAATAATAATTCACATATTATATGTACACTTGATATCGAATTCGCAATTCAATTCTGCTATGTGTATATATATATATATATATATAATTATATTAGTAAACACACACATTATATATTTCTTATATTATATTATACATATATTAATTTCAAAGTAAATTGAATATATTATGTTGCGTATAAGGAAATTTGAAACAATCAAAGTGAAAGAAGATATAAAATTAATATTATATTAGAACGTTATATAAAGATTGGTAATACAATGATTATCAATTTATTTTTTGCAAGTTGTATTTCAACATTGTCAATCAGTAACCAATCAACTCGAAATAAAACGCAAACTGTGCATCCTTCCGAATCACTGAGTTTATTCACAAGCTCGGCAGATGAATAAGCGTGTGGACAATAAACGCGATAGGATTAATCTTCTCACTACTTTGAGGCGTCAAAAAATTATTACTGACCAAATTTGACAAATTTATATTGATTAAAATAAATCTGTTACAATACAATAAATAAGCAAATAAATGTGCCAAATGTCGCTGTATTTTAAATTGATATAAAATAATTGAACGTTAATATAAATTAAACGTAATTTTTTTTCCTTCCTCTATGCTCTTAAATTGTACATTAAATATATTTATTTTAATTATATTTTTTAAATAGAATATATTTTAAATATAATTAAAAAAATATTAGAATATCGCATTGCAATTTGCAAAACATCTCCTAAGAATATTTTTCTCTAATTGTAAGAGGAAATATAAAGCTATGACAGACAAGACCTTTTCAAGTCGCAGTTATTGACTTTCGTCATGTCGACCGCACAGTGCGCGTGATCGGACTTTTAGTTGGAGCAAGTCCCCTGTAGAGGCACCACAAATCACTGTTTCTGGCTGCACTTGTAATATTTCCTGAAAGAAATTGGTTAGATGGCGTTCAAGAAAAAAAAACAAAGAAAAAGCTGTATCACGCATATATATTTTGAAAATAAAACACCCTACTTATGAAAGATATCTATACATTCTCCTGTATTATCTGAACGAGAAATGATTGTCGATAATTTGTAAGTTGTCACTTTAATTTGAACTACATATGCACAGAATTCCGTCATTAATTAAATGATCGGACTAATTAAAGATTAAAGAACATTATTTTTTGTTAATTGAAAAAACTTGTGTGATGATAATGTTCATAAAATAGAAAATAATTGATTAAACGTGAAAATTTCTATTGTAGGGCTGAGACCTTGAGGAAAAGAAAATTTGCACGGATTATTAAGCAGAAATTTGGCTGACAAAATGTGCTGTTACTTGCTGCAATGTTATTTATTTCATCTTTATTTTCAAAGGGGTCGCCGTAACATATCAAGAGTCAAATTAGGATATGTACTCTGGGGCATTGGCATGATAGCACTGCTGGAATTTTTTGGAGCATTTGTGCATATATTTGAGGTCACGTACGATGAAAAAAACTTTGTATATCCGTACAAAGGCAATGTACATGAATTTGTGAATGCTTTGCGACGTAATGAAAAACCTGAAGTCGAACCTATAAACGAGTATAAATATGCTTTTATCTTGACACAGCCACAAAAGTGTAAGGAAAATGCAGATGATACGCTTCGTATTGTATATATAGTAAAATCGGCTATAGAAAATTTTGATAGAAGAACTGCTATACGAAATTCGTGGGGAATCGAAAAGAGATTCTTTGATGTGCCAACGAGAACTATTTTTGTGGTGGGTACGCATCGGTATGACCAAGAAGTTGAGGCCAAACTGAAACTAGAGGCAGGAATTTACAAAGATATCGTGCAGGCAGATTTTATAGATTCGTACTATAATAATACTATAAAAACGATGATGAGTTTCAAGTGGTTAGTAAATTACTGTCCCAATTCAAAGTTTTACATGTTCGTCGATGATGATATGTATGTATCTGTAAAAAATTTAGCGACATTTATTAGAAATCCAGCTAATTATCCATTTTATTTAATGGAATCCAGAAAAGTGTACAGTGCACACAAAAGAGAAATCAAACAGTCGGATTTAATGGATTATAGTGACATCAATTTTAATAATAAAAGCGTAACATATGACTTAAAAAGCAAAACGTCTTTTACGGAAGATTCAACTATTCATGAATCTACAAATAACAATAGTCGGAAAAATAATATGCATGAGAAACAAGAAGTCGAGCTTAATGAAAACCGTAAAACAGAAAATGAATACTTGCTCAGGCTTTTTAACAAGCCTACGTCAAATAGAAAACGACAGCTTCTCGATTTTGAGCTGCCAGATGATATTAGACTGTTTGCAGGATTCGTATTTATGCGATCTGCGCCACATCGACATAAATTTTCTAAATGGTACGTCACATTAAAAGAATATCCGTATCATTTATGGCCACCATATGTTACAGCCGGTGCATACGTGCTGTCTAAAGAAGCTCTGTTGGATTTGTACTACACCAGTTTCTACACCAAGCATTTCAAATTCGATGATATCTTTCTAGGTTTAGTAGCTAAGAAAGCTGATATAGTGCCGTTTCATTGTGAAGAATTCCACTTTTATAAGAAAGCTTATACAAAACATAGTTATACTTATGTTATAACGTCTCATGGATATGGAGACCCAAACGAACTTTTACAGATATGGAACGAACAGAAAGCTCTTGGAAACGCTTAAATCTATATAAATAATGCAAAACGATTTCGCAATGGCTTAGTTTACATCGTGCACTTGATACGGGTACTAACTAGTAACTTTCTATTGAATTATCTTAATTTCGGCGATACATGTAAACATATACATGATATGTGTATTTAATCATTTTGATGCATATTGTATCAATTTAGTACATCATTCTTTGAATACATCGCTCAAATTAAAATAATTCAATAGAAAGTTGCTAGTTAGTACCTGTATCAAGATATGAACTAGGCCTATATATACTATTACATGAATTTAGAGACGATTAAGATAATTTCCATTTAAGAATGAAAAACAAAGTATCACGATAGCTTATATTGGCGAAAATATCATAATTGATATGTATCAATATATATACATATGAAGGAAGATGGAATATACGATGTAAAATAACAATTATGTGATAATGTTCAACTTGTTGTAAAGAATATTCTGTGCTCTATTACTAGAATAGATTTCATCCTACATCAGTCTTCATATATATAGTATTCCCTAATAAAAAATCAAATTTATCAAATTTTTAGTATTATACGTATTAAAGCATAGTATTTAAATTAAACAGAATTATGCTAATCGTATTTATTCATTGCTCTAGTTTATAAATAAGATTGTTTAATTATTTTATTTAACTACACACACACATAGACTGATTAATATTATTTTTCTAAAATAATCAAATAACATAATTAACATATATGTATATGCACTTGGATAGTTAATAAATTGCGCAGAAGCTATAAAAAACTTGTATATTCTAAAAGTCAATATATTTACAATTTTGTACTTTGTTAATTAACAGCTATGTTTTTGTGATAATTTTTTTCCATTGATAATATAATAAATACATTTTTTAGATATATGGTCCCTCACAAATTTGTTGTCGAGTTCTATTTTATATCGTATTTTTTTTTATCGGTACTGCTTATCAGTATTGGCTTTACCTAAAGTTTGATCCAGACTCACAGCTTCTTTTTTGATCATATTGAGCAATAATTGGGAACTCTCCAGAATCTACAATAAAACAAATATAACACTTAAGAGATGCAGGATTAACATTCAATTTAGAATAGATCACTCAAAAATACTACCTTTACATATGCTGTCTCAGTGTCGGCGATAGTTCTATCGTATTCGTTTCTGACCGTGATTCTTTTTGCTAAATTATCGTTCAGTTGGGTAAGTTTACACGACATCTTCTCGATTTCGCGTTGCAAATTGTTCTTTTCTTCCTCCTGGGATTCTATCTGAGATTGAAGTTCCGATCGCCTTACCTTCATCTCTTCTAAACCTAGAAAAACAAATTTCTTTTCTGTACATACATGAATGCAACAAGATAATTCCGTTCCTAAAAAATATCGAATTATAATATCGTAGAATAAAGTAATTTAAGATCATCAATATGACGTTTGAATAACAATTCCTTTTTCGGGATTAAGATACCTTCAGTATTGGGATTGTATAGCAAAAGAATACTTGTATTATGTTTCAGGTATCTAAAATCGGATCAATTAAAGCTCAAACTAATTAAAGATATTCTCCGTTATATCACACTATGTTATTCTTCTTCACAAATTTATGAATAATGTCAAACAAAAATTTTTAGGTTAAACGGGTTACATTTGACAAGCTCCTGATTATACGTTTGCAGAGCAGCTCCGTGTTGAGACATCGCGAACCCTCCATTCGCAGGAAATTTCATATAAGGCGTATATATTTAAACTGATTTAAACGCGGACGATGTCAGGCAATACTATCAAGAACGGCCGTTGTTTATCAACAACCGCACCAACAACGCGGAAATTCGATTGACGTTCGGGTGGCCAGCTGCTTCGGTTTTGGCGCGCGGTTCCCGCACTTCCCGCTTTACGCATGCGTCAGGAGCATGCGTCGGGAGATATAAAAATACGAAGATTTCTCGTCCTTTTCACGCGTTATCCATATACAAATCTAGAGACTGTACGAAATTGGATCCATAGGAACGGCGATGATTTTCTTTTTTAATTTATAAAGTAGTCATCTTTCGTAGCAACAACTGGAAAATCGTCGAGCTCTAAAAATCAACGCGATAAGCGGAACAGGGTCATATAATTGGATGATCAAGGATTTGATTGATCCTTCGCAGCTTCTCGAAACTCTCGAGCTTTTGAGAAAGATAATGCGATTCATGATCAACGGAATCGATATGGCGCCTGCTTTGACGGAATTCATTTTGCAGATTCTGGATATCCGAGGTCGAGGCTCGGATTAACACTGGACTAGCTGCTTTCAAAACCAGTTTTCTTTTTCAGAGCCGGAACTATATTGCATAACTACGCCCGATCGTAAAATTACTTTCGGGGCTGTGGAATATACCCATGCAGCACAGAATTTGTAGCAATATCGCTGCAAAATCTCTGCAATGCTGCTGCAACGTGCAATGTTGCTGCAATATTGCAGCAGTGTTGCTGCAACTTATGTGCTGTAGGGGTATTCTCGTAGATATCAGAGTTATCTTGAAGATCATCACAAATCTTTATCCTTCGCTCTAAACAAAAAATTGATCTGTGCGAAAACATTCTGTTGTAATCGCACATTTTACGTTTTTAATTATCAGTATACAATATGTAGAATTATACTCTAATCCATCAGGCGTATAAATATATATTTATTATATTTATTATTTATATTTTACAAAAAGAAAAGGTGCAACTCAATGAAAGCCATGCTTTATTTTTATTTATCGAATTGCAATGCGTTCTTTGCATCATTTGTATTTTACACTTCACGCATCAAATTTGGACGTATTTTGGATAACGATAATATAATGCAACTTCTCCTTAAAGCGGAAACGTGAAAAGTGAACGTGAAAAATTTTATAATAAAAATGTTGACTTTTTATGTCTCCGTCTTAGGGAAAAAGTTGCTCGATTACACATGTTGGAATAGGATCGTATCCCTTCGAGACAATCAACGACCCAATTTCACGTCCGTTTATTTCGCGTAGAGGAGGAGGGACGTCGGATGGCGGGCGGTGAGGACTGGCGAGGACTAGTTAGCGCGCACACCTGAGCTCACCTTTTAAAGGCGTCAGACGGAAGCGTGGTGGAAAAGCGTGGCGCACGCCACGATAAACGTGCCTTTCGCTCGCGGTCGCGGGACGCCCGCCGCAGCCCGCCGACGTACTTGGAGCATTCCAGCGATTTCCAGCGATTCCGACTGATTCCGACCGCGACTGTCGCGAGACGGGCGAGAGCCAAGAGCAGCGGGTCTCGATCGCGTTGCTCCGGGACGTATCACGTATATTGTATGGATTGTATGTCGCGTCTCGAGTCCGCGAGTTTCGCGAATCCGCGCCAACGCCACCAGAATTGTCGCGAGTGCTTTTCGATCGAGTGCAGGGACGATCGATCTCGAGGAGGAAGAAAAAGGAGAGAAACACAAACACGGAATGGACCAAACGCGGCGAATACTCGCGTGATCGATATGTCGCGGCGATCCTGCAGGCACGTCTGCACGAGGAGAGGAATCACCCGCGGGTAAGGATCAATATGGGGGAACGTAATCTCCCGAGTCAACTCCCAAGGCAAGCTACTCGGGCAAGATCCTCTCGAGGGTCGAGCCAGCATCGAAAGAGCGGCTCTCCGACTCGAACGGATCTCGATCCGCACCTGCAAGAGCTAGGCAAGAGATTCGACGCGAGCGCGGGTGCGTCCCTCGTGATCTTGGTCCCGCGCTTTGCTCGGACATTTCTTCATTGACGTTTCCTGTCCTTTCCTCCTCTCTTTTCTTTGTTTTTCGGGAATTGATCTCCGGGGGCAGGACCGAGGATGGTGCGCACAAGTCGCATGGATCTACGACGCCTGCGCGCGTCGCGAGTCGCAATCCGCCGCTTCGTCTCTTGCACGCGTGCACCATTTAAAAATTGCGATTAACGCGAGAAAAACGTAAAGCGGGAGTTTAATAACCGGTTGGCTGACGAGAGTGAACGTATTTTAGAGGGCGGATGGCATTAATCATCGATACTGCCTGTCACACACCTTTCTATCGAAAATAAATTAATTCAAGGGAATCGTATTAATTCAAGCGAATTCTAAAAAAAATCGAATTTTTAGATCTGTGACACGAAAGTTTGCCGTTTAATTTCAGAAAAATGATAATTTCTCTCATCATCTATTTTAATTAAATATTTATAATACATTATCTTATTTCATGAGGCTGTTATTATAATATAATTACGTCGAAGTGATTTCGCAAAATTTGATATCGTCATTGCAATTACCAAATATTTTATTACTTTTAGAATGTAATTAATTGCAGGATTCTTTTTTATACTAGAGATCAAAGACCGCAGATATTCATAGTCCGTTCTTGTATTTAAGACTGTCTTAATTAATTAAATAATGTCTCAAGATGCTAATTGATTCTGTGATAGCCTCATGACGTCTCAAGACGGTCTTAAATACGTAAGAATCGATTTGTAAATATGCCGGTCAAGGGAATGTCGCGACGCGCTAAACACATGTGCACATTTAATAAAGATATAATTGTGACAGAGATACGATAATTTATTGTGAAACGAATAACAAGAAGTTATAATCTTGAAAGAGTCGCGAGAGAACGATCAAGGAGAGGCAAAGGAGTTATATACGCGCATTATGTATTGATCGAAGATGTTGCACATGTCCTTGCCAAGTGACATCATCGTACTAAATAAGGATTTGCCCAATGCGATGAACGCGTCGTGGGCACTGCCTACGGTCGCGAGACAATCCCATAATGATGCACCGTTTTGCAATCTTTATGCGCAGGCAGCACTTAAAGGAACGTACGCCACACCTTACGCTTGTTAAATTTGTATTCGATCACGGGCTATACTTATATAATTGGATAAAATACATCCCAAATGCCGTTACCAAAACTAAAAACGGAGATACGAAACAAGAAAAAGATTTAAGAACGTCTGTTCCTTTTAGCGACGTAAAGCATTTTTGTTGCAGGTTGACGGTGTAAATGATGCGTATGACGCACAATTTTCTTTTAAAATATGCAATATATTTTAAGTAAGAATGGAAATATACGGATACGTGCAGAGTAAGCATTTCGTGCCTTTTTATCCTATGACGACGTACTGTAACAATTCTGATAATCGATTTGTCGATAAACTGATATTTATTTCTGTTTTAGATGAGCTAAAGAAGCTTTATTAATTAGTTACTTGTCTTTGACATTCCTTGTGCACGAGTCGACGACTGATACTTCAAAATGCATACTTCGAAATATGCTGGATATCACATTAATGGAAATCGTGATTACATTACAGATGGTGAAGAGAGCCATAGAGCTCCTTCGGACCGCACCGTGTCCGAGTATATCGTTGCTAACGAGCATACCACTATGGTAATGCATTTTATATTCACGATGGCAAAGATATTCTTTTAGCTTAAAGCGTATTTTATTCTACATACGAGTATATTACCTAAGTAGCACACAGCGCGTACGAAGCGTTAACGAAGCGCTAAAAAAGCGCATATAATCGCTTTTTTTGCGCTTTATAAACGTTGTGCCACTTCGTCGGTAGTGTACACAATGTATAGAATACATCCGCCTCCTTATATATATTTAAATTATCATTTCTTTTTCTCAAACTCTTCTTTTACAGGTAAAACCTACAAGAAAGAACCCCGCGGATAAGTACGATAGAGAAGAAGACAGGAGATCCAGAAGCGCGCATAACGCTCGCGATTCGGTACTGTCCGGATCTTCAAAACATAGTTTGCATCCGCTTCGCAAAAGTGCCTCGCACGGCAGTATTTGCGACAATGGTTCAGATATATATGTCACCAGCGCTGCATATAGAGCTACTTCCGACATAAGGTCGCTCACAATCAGATTTATAAACGCGTAGCATTTAATATCCCGTAAATATACTTATAACAGAAAATGTATTTTGTGTTATAGTCGGGTATCACGCCGTAGTCTCGCACCAAGCTCCAGATTGGATCACAGAGCGCCTAGTCATTATAGCTACGGTTCCGGCAGGTCAGGCACTTCGACAGTGAAAACTCGTACGTCACGAAAAGGCGGTATTATTGTGGAAACTATGTCAACGCCTAATCCATTTTGCCCAAACACTAAGGGCGTCTGCTGCCTCATGTTACTTCTCAATCTTGGCTTGATTCTAGTTACTTTAGGTTTCGTTATCGTCATACAATTTTTCCAGCCGTTAGTCGTTTGGTAAGAGTACTCTGTGATCAATTTTTACATCGCACACGCGCGCACGATTTATAATTTATGTATATATTAAAGTAATTATAATTACTTCAATTATAAAGGACAAAATTGCAAAAGTTATATATATATATCGATTTGTATTTCTAATAATTAATAGTAACGTAAAAGAATTGAAAGCATGATGTATAGATTACACAATTGGAGAGGCGTATTTTATAAAATTTTATACAAAATGCATTTTTTTTTAGGATCTTGGGAATAGTATTTCTTGTGTTTGGATTTTTGACACTGATCGGTAGTCTCGTGTATTGCGTACATGTGTTCAAAAATGCCAGACATCCACACGATATCAATCCGGAAGATCTATACTGGACCCATTACTGGCAAGGTCGTGTTGGTTCTACAGCACCTGAAGTTTATTATAAAGCCGAAGACAAATATCAGGATGATGGCTATAGCGATCGATACAGCAAATACTCGGGAAAGTATTATGACAGGCAAAATCAGAGATATTGATTGGAATATAAAGAATAGTATCGATCATTAATTAAAATACCAATTCACACACATTCTGCCAGCTCGTAAGAGATTTGGAAAAACCAATGACGAATAAAAAACTAATCTCAGTGCAATAAAATATACTTATGTGTACTTGTGCATAGAATATTGTACTAACATTATTTTTTCTTTTCCAGAAAATACAAATTGTCAATGTATTTTATTCTTGTTATTTGCAATACTAATATAAATCATCTGAAAAAAATAAAAAAAAAATAATTTCTTTTCCTGAAAAATAACATACAGAAATTTCAGCGTTAACTTGGTGATTTTCGCAATTTAGTGTATCGATATATTAATAACATCTCTCTAATAATTCTAAGCAGATATTTATATTTTATACTTACAGCATAAATATATGACGGTAATGACATTTTTTAAATAAACATGTACAATGTATTATAGCAAAAGAACATATTCGTAATAATGCTACATATATCCATAAAATTAAATAATTATCCCATTATATGATCAAAAAGATTTGAATTTACAAAAGTGCCACTTTTATTAACTATGTAATAAAAAGATTTATTTTTTATTTTAAGTGGTAGATATGTTCCTGTATCATCCTGTCTGTCTGCGGTGCACTTTACCTTAAAAAAAATATCTCAAATGTAAGAAACATTTCAAATAGAAAAAAATATTTTAACTCTTTTATATCTTTATATATATATTTTCATGCTCTAAAAGTGTTATATATTATTATTAATATCATGTATGAAATTAATTATACACCAAACATTATAATTAACTTTATATTTATAATTATTATGTAAATGCTTCTTACCACTCCTACTGGTAAATTTAATTTGGATTTCTTCTTTTGCATATGATAAGTAATAATTGAAAGTGTTTTACCGCCTTTATTTAAAATAATATATTTGATGCTACGAGCACATGCAGCATAAACGTAAAGACACGTAAGAGGACCTACAAAATAAATACATCAATTCCAAAAAGAATAAAATCTATTTACTCCATTTTATATAAAGGATTGCTTAACAAATAAAGTAAAAATATGAATCTTTGCATAAAACATGAATGTCTATATATGAAATATTGTTACACATAAATATAAAAGATGATTCTTACCTGTCATAATTACAAAAAAAAATATGCCAATTCGTAACATGTGGTTCAGCAAATATTCTTTTAAGTTTATGTCAGTCTTGTATATATCCCAGAATGATGGAGTATAACTATAAAAAGCCAATACTAAACAACAAAATAATTGTACAACTCCAAAAATTCGCAAATTTCGGATATATGTACTCCCTTCATATTTATATAAAATTACATTGTTCTGTACATTTGTATTTACATCCAATCGTGACATTTTTCGACGCTGTATTAATAAATTTTGTACCAATTTGTTTGGTTTAAGGAAACTTGTTTGTTGTGTTGCTCCATCAGATAATCTAAATTTTTATTTACATCATTTTAAAATATATAACTGTAAAATACACAGGAAATCCTATAGTTATCGTCGTTAATTCTAGCTTTAATTTGAAGTTAATATTTTTTAATGTAAACTAATTAAATGGCATTAATTTTCAAACGATTATCAAAACAATATTGACATTTTGACATAACATTCTACTTTTTGATCTTCCTCTTTCATTTCTAATTAAAAGAAGATAACAATAACGATCAAGAATATCCTGTATACATTTATACAAATATTCTTTTAATAATCAATGATTAAAACTTAAAATATTTCTAGATATATATCATTCTTAAGAAATATATTTTATCAAAAGTTTTATTATAATTATATCTTTTTACCTCGCGCATCTCGTTAGAAACATTCTAACAGTCATTGCTGCTGAAAATATATTCTTGTCATATATAAAATATTTTTGTGTTATTCCATGGACAGATCGTACTTGAGTTAATAAAGTTTTAGGAATAATAGGATGCCTCAAAATTAGATTCAACATTTTTAAATTGTTTTCATTCTACGTCACAAAAGGCAACTCTAGAAATTTTATAAAATATTAATTTGCTTTTAATATCATTTCTTACACACAAAAATTTTATTTTTATTTACAAATATTTACATTTATTTTAATTTTATTTTTCTTTTCATTAATAATGAGGTAATCCGGAAAAAAAACACGATATACATATATTCTATGATTTTATATGAAAGATTATGCATAAAAAATTATTATATTCTTACCAAGTTCTTCTTGCGAATACTGCAATCTGTAAAAATATAAATTTTATTTATAAATAGTCAATTCAATAGTAAAATTATAAGTAAACTTTTTTGGCTAGAGGTTAGGAAACCCGTAGAAAAAGGTAAACATAAGGATCTGATCTTTACAGCTACACTATGTCGTACTTTTTGCACTTAAAATAAGATAACTACAAAGTTGAAGAAAAAAGGAAAAATGACGAAAAAATACAAAGCGAAAAAATAGAAAGAATGACAAAGGATAATCTCAATTATTTAAATGTGTTTCCAAGTGCAGTAAAGTGTGAGTAGGATGAACGAAATCCTATTTTCGTTTGACGCTCACACACTTGCGAGCATCGTTTGTCCTTATTTAACATTAGGTAAACAAAGAATGAAACGAGCACGAGTGATTGCGTGCTATATAATCACATATAATCTGAAAGGACAAGTTGAAGGCACTCTTCTATCGTCATCCGACGATACACGGCAGAAAAAAAAAAAAAGAGCAAGTGATTGCGAGCGTCAACTCGTCAAGTGGTGGAGCATGCAGCCTCTACTTTCGTTTTATATATTTGGACTTCTCGCTCTCTTTATCTTCAAGGTCTAGTTACTATACATTTAGAGAGTGCAAGTAAAAGCAGAGGTAAAAGAAACTTATAAGAAACAGTCTAGTCTAGCGACTCTCGTAGTGTCGTAATCGCGAAGCGGGGAAACACACGTTCTCTTTTAGAATATCAGAACGTCAGGAATATCAGGACGTCAGGAATATCAGGATCTCTCACAGAAATCAGAGCAGATCAGAGTCCAGAGATTCGGAGATTGAGAGGCAATCAGGGCGTTCCGAAATTCATTGAAAGATAACGTGGAAACTTTTCCGTTGACGGAACATACGTCGGGCTGCGTCGGGCACGATTGGCACGAATACGTGCCGCTTGCTTCCGAGATGCGACTCGTGCAACACAGCTCGTATCGTATTTTTACTGTGCGTGCAGGTGTTGCGCGACGCGGACGCGAATGACTTGACGCGATGCACTCGTTCGTGAACGGCCGCAGAGAGTGGCGAACTTCACTACGTGAATTCTAACCTCGATCGAAAACTCGCGTATCCTTGACGTGACGACAGTGCGGTAGCTGACAGGTATCAGCTGTTCCAGTAAATAAACCGCGCGTCGACGATGGACGACGTGGAGGACACCGCGCGAGACGACCGGCCGTCCGACGAGGACGTCAGCGAGTCGGACGACGGCAGCGAGTATTCGTCGCGTAGCGAGGGTGAATTCAACTGGTACGTTATGTCGGACTCGATTCTCCTGAGTATCTTCCAGTACCTGACGCCGAGGGAATTGTTGACCGCGGGCGAGGTGTGCCGATCGTGGTTCAGAGTGTCGCGCGACGAGTTCCTGTGGAAGTATTTATTTTATCGTACGTACAAGATAGATCCGGACGTCGGCATCGTGCCAGGTATGTCTCGTCACTAAGTATTCGCGGTACTTTTACACGATCGAAAATAACATTCTCCGCCGGATATTGCGTGGAGAAAATATAAATTTGTACCGTCTATTTTCCGGGAAGATCCATTCATACTCGGAGCAAAATTGTTAGATTCTACTAAATCGGACAATGATTCCACACACATGGCATTTATGAAGACAATAAATGTAAAAGCAATAATAGAATAACAAAGCAGTAAGACAAAGAAATATGTGTAAACGAAGTAAACTTTTTTTTTTTTCATAAATGAGTGTGAATTCCTAATTATTCAGATTAATAGCAACGTTTATTGATTGTTACTTTTTTATAATGCTACTTTTGTTGTCATATATTCTTATAAAACAATCTTGTTAATAACAATACACATGAAATTTGTATATTTTCAATTTTTATCTTTTGATAAATGATGTTTCAGAAAATCTTTCTATGTACATAGAAAAATCTTATCTTATGTAATACTACATAAATCTGTATAATAATTAATTTTTTATTATTTTATATGCATATGTATATATTTTATCCATATTCTTTATATTTATTATTCTTTCGTAGGAAAAACCTCCTGGTTGGGAGAATTCAAACGCTTGGCATATCACACTCCATTGATAGAAACTGAAGTTCTTAAAGAACATTCACATCAGGTCTTACACGTGAGCTTTTCTCATAATGGCAAAATGTTTGCAACCTGTTCAAAAGATGGATATATTCTTGTAAGTTCTTCTTTCATTTTGCAATTATTACTTTCTCTCATATACTTACATTTATCATTTGCATCATTTTGTTTTAGGTATGGCAAAGTCAGTATCCTGTTACCATAAAATATTGGCACGATATGAAGACATTTAGTTGGAAATATACACAATTTTCCCAGTTTAATTGTACAGATACGTTACTTCTTGTGTCTGGTGTCCATTTTGGTACACCGCATAGTACTTCGGGTGAAATAGCAGTATTCAGAGTAGCACGTAAGTGAGATTAAGGTCTTATATGTATCAATAAGAAAATAAAGATTATACGACTAAAATAAATCTTAACCTGGGAGTCAACGAAATTATCTGACGATAGATTTTGATAAAAGAAATTATCTCCATCCAATACATGCTTATATGTGTTTTTTGTTTATTTGTAGCTGGTTTTGATCTCCAGTGTAGAGTAGTGAATAAGCCGTATGACATATTTGGTACATGGTACAGTGAACGTTACCTTTTAAGTGGAAATCTACATTGGTTGGCACATTTGGTTAGTACTAGCGTAGTTTGGCTCAATAAGGCAAATCAGGAATCAGCTAGCGAACATGTGCCCATTATGACGCAACTCTTTAGGTAAAGTAACGACTCGGTATATTTTTTTAATCGATCTGAATCTTTAATTCAATTTAACTTCTTGTTAGAAACATAAATAAATTTTTTTAAATGGATTATAATATTTTTTTCATGCACTTGTAATAATTTTTCAGGTTCTATAACGGAAATGCTTCCTCGATTAGGGCGATTATGGTTGCAAATTGTTTAGCATCTGCTCCAGCTGAATCCACAGAACAACAGAGCCAACCATCTTCCTCAAATACAAAGGAAGAAAAAGGAAATCCACCAAGCCACAAGGATTTGTTGTCTCCTTCAGGCGAATCTAATAGCTCGCAAAGTCAAGAAGAACCAATATACTACATTTCATCATCAAAAATACAGTATGTGAAAATTTCTTTTTTTTATGCACAGTGTGGTTCACTTAAATTGAAAATCTTGAATATTTCATTTATTTTTGATGATATGAAAAAAATGTTTTAGATGAAAAAAAAAAGTGAGACGGTTTCGAGTGAAGGAAAATATTAAGGTAGAAATATAAAAAAATCAATGTATTTAATCTTTCACATTAATATGTGCCAGAATAAAGTATAAAATATCTCATTGGTTTTTGGTATTTCTACTTTTTATACGCAGAATAATTAGAGGAATGATATTAAGTAAAAAAAATTATATAATTCTATTTAAAAAAGTAGAAGTGATTTTTTTTTATCTTTTTGGCACTTCTACCTACCAAAAGAACAATGTGACCGAAATACGTCCCTCTTGAAATCATTTTACTTTTATATGAAATATTTTTTCGTATCAAAAATAAGCAAAACATTCAAGGTTTTCCATTTAAGAGTGGACCACCCTGTATACATGTATATAACTTTTAAATGCATTCTTATTAGATATTAATATACATGATACATATACATGATAGATATAGTAAATTAGAAGGTGCATTTTCGAATTGGAGGAAACTTGGTGATGGTTTTGAATATGCTAGTCCTATACAATACAATCAGGAATATAGGCAGGTTGAGATGCAGAAGAAGGCACACGAAAGCGATAGCGAAAGTGAGAATCCGCAATGGGAGGAGGAGAGCGAGTCTGGAGGTAGGAAAATTATGCATGTAATGCATAGCAATAGGAAATAACTATAATCGGCTATCCTAATCATTGTGTAGGACATGATGACAAAAAATGAGTTTACAGAATCTTCAATAACCGAAGAATGTGATACAGACGAGTTAGCCAGTAATCCCGAAAAACTTCTTATCTTTACGACTGGTTCGAAAACATATACTCCGCATAAAGTTGGTTTTAAGAGGATCAAATTAGTTACTTTCCCACGAAGATTGGATCCAGGACCATCGCTGCGTGAGAGAATAGCTCAACAAAAGAGGGAACGAGAGAGACAGAATACTCCATCAGTAGAAGATTGGTTAAATTATGAATCTGTGGCAGACAAATTCGATAAAATAGATCATTTAATTGATCTTCATGGCCATATTATTGGAATGGGACTTTCTCCTGATCATAGGTCAGTTGTAGTTGTCATGTAAAATAAATGTACTTGAGATGTATAGATATTTAACTATGCATATATTTCCAGATATCTTTATGTAAATTCGAGGCCGTGGCCGAAGGGTTACGTTATTACCAATCCCTTACAACCACCGCCGATAGCTCAAGAAATCGATATCCATGTAATCGACTTGGTAACGCTGAAACAAGTTGGCACGATGTTAAGAGCACACAAAGCATATACGCCTAATAACGAATGTTTCTTTATATTTCTGGATGTATGTAATGAATACGTAGCAAGGTAATTAATACGCTTGTATTTAATTTATTAATTTAACCAAGATTTAACTTTTCAAAATATAAAATATCTTTGTTTGCAGTGGTGCAGAAGATAAACACGGTTATTTATGGGATAGACATTATGGAATCTGCTTAGCAAAATTTCCCCATAGTGATGTAGTTAATTCAGTGGCTTTTAATCCACGCGATCCTGAGATGTTAGTTACAACTAGTGATGACTATACAGTTAAAATATGGCGAAGTCGGGCTATGGTGAAGGCTTTAGATTTAGATGAAAAGTCTTATCGTAGGGGGATGGAAGTGCGAAAAAGACATAAATATCAGAAATGCGGCACTAATGTTGACTGATTAAAAACTATTAAATTTCTAATTTAAACATTTATTTTTACAAGATCTTAGAGATATATTTTACACTTAAGTTTTAATATATACTATACAAAATCGTCCAGAATACTATTATTGCATAAAAGCACAAATATAATAAGAATATATTTTTTGATTACCTGGGATTATGCAAATTACATATGCAGACTTTCATTTCTTGGTATAATATAGAATCTCGTTAGATGAGTACTTCTATTTTGAAAAAAGTAAAAAAATAAAAATTACTAAGAATGTTGTTAAAAGAATGAATATCATAAGAATATATTGTTGACACGCGTCTGTTATGATGAAAATTAGAAAATAACTTACGAAAGATTTTAAAATTATATCATCCATTCAAAAATAGATTATCAAACTATTTTTAAATTTTCAGAACTCGCAAACTAATATTAGATCAGTGATTTGCCTAATGATTAAAAATTGTCCTATCTGCTTGTTCCTATTCTATGCACATTAATGATTTTTCAAGATATTTTTCAAGATAATGTCAGTTTAAAATTTATCTATAAAGCCTATATACATGAAACTAGTTTAAAACTTATCTTCAAATGAAATTAGAAATTTAAACTCAATGAAAGTGTGCAATGAATATTAAGTTTCCTTATGACCATTTTTTTTATGAGTATGACTTTAAAATTTCGAATTTTTTTATTTAATCCATTCTGTATTTTATATATATTTGAAATATTTACAAATTTCATCTACCTATGCTTATATTAGATAAAAGAAACAAGGAATAAATGTAACTGTGCATTATTTTGTATTTTTTCTTTGTCATATGTAATACGACATAATTACTTATAATTATGGCGCATGACAATGCATGCCGTAATTTGTAATACATTATTTCATTTTTTGAGCTTGTATTATAGAGCAATTGCATTGTAAGATTATAAATGTAATAAATCTCCAAAAAAAAAATGAAATTTTGACATATATTCCTAATTTTTCTTCATATCAGAACATAATTGCAAACTTGATCTAATAATAATGAAATATACGAACCAATATTATCATACATCACAAAATAATATATATTTTTTCTAGCGCATCTGGATCTAGATCTCTCTATATTAGGTAAATAGTAAATAACAAATAGTACATGTAAAATTAATAACATTAATCGGACGTAAACATATAAGGAATGATGAAATTGCTTTTCAAAGAATGTTGAATAATTTACTATTCGCAAGACATGTATAATAATTAACAATTTCAATAATATTTTATAATCTGCGCGATTAAAGCACTGTAATATAAGTACATATACTAGTGCAAAATCATATTTAAAGTTGTGTACCTAAAATGACAAGGCAACATGACTTTATCTACATTGTATAATTATAATATTTTAATTATTGTTATATATATACCATTACTTACCTAAAAAAAGTATCATCTTTTTCTGTATTACATACTGACTCGAGAAATAATAATTGGAAAATAAAGGAATTTATTTTCCATTTAGAGAAAAGTTGTCAATAGGTATATAAGCATAAAAACACTTATGTTGAACCTGTTGCAATGGGTTCTATAAAAAGAATAAGATAAGAAGTAAGGGTAACAGGTACAAATGTATAAATACATACAAATATATATTTGATTTATTATGAAAAATTTACCAGGATGTGATGACATTCCTTCTCGCGCAGGATCACCAGATTTCGGTAAGACTTTCTTATGAGCATCTTTATGTCCGTGACAATGTTCGCATTCATCATCACTGTCTTCAGAACTACTTTCACCAAAAGTTTTTGGTTTCTCATAAATACAACAACCTATAAAAAAAATTATGTAATTAACTCTTTTTGATAAATGAAACCTAAAAGATTACATAGAAATAATAAATACTTACATTTTGATTTTTTTTTATTTAAATTTTCATTGTCTACGGTCCCCTGTGTCCATTGAACCTTTTTATTTGATTTCGGCATCCGTAAACGTAATCGTACAGTAGGTACATCCTGTATAAAAAAATGTGAAATTTTCAATAATATAAAGTGCATTATCAGGTTTTAAATTATAAGCAGTGATTGACTATAAAAAAGATACTTGTTACGATATATATATATATATATAATAAAAAATTGTGTTAATGTAAAAATAAAGAACAAATAAAATTAAAAAATTTTTATTTTCATTACAATTGATAACAAAATAACAATTTTATAATATATTATAAAATTTTAACCAAATTAAAATATTTTAGGCTTTAATGAATTAAATCGAATACCATAAAAATGCTAATACAAGCCCACACTGGATGGGCATGTGAGTATAAAACTTATTGTCTAAAAGTATAAATAAAATAATAAAAGTGTAAACGTTTCAAAAACCTTCTTTTTGGGGTCTCTTCAGTACAATCGTTAAATAATAATTACATGTGTTGAATTAACTAAAAAGTTATTACGATATCACAGTGTCGATTAACTTTAGTTTGACATTTTATAATAATTAGTACTGAAGAGAACCCAAAATGGAGGGTCGAAACGTTTTTTTCTTTAGACAATAAATTTTTTGTACACATATGTCCATACGGTGTTGGCGTGTTGGCCATTTTTATTGTATTCGATAAAATTTAAAATCTTAAAATGTAATATATATAAAATGATGAAATACTAATCTTAAAATATATAATGTACACATAATACAATAAAATACATATTTATACAATAATCTTATATATGAACTTGTTACTATTAAACTACATTCTAAAGATTTTATAAAAATATCCGACAATAATTCGATTGCTGCATTAAAATGTACAAATAGAAAGGGATTCATGCTCATTAATTATTGTACGATTTTTTGTTTTATCAAATGTTCTATTTTATCATCAGAATAGTTTAATATATTTTTTAAAACTTCTGACGTATGCTGTCCCAATGTTGGTGGTGCTGATCGCACCATATTAGTAGCGTAGCTATATGTCACAGGTGGTCCAACAAGTTTCACTTTGCCTGTAACTGGATGATCTACTTCTCGAACCAATTTGATATGTTTCACATGGGGATCATCGAATACCTGGAAATTACAGTTGAAGAAAATGAAATTTATTAAATTGCAAAAGAGAGACAATGCATCGAGATCAGATTAGATTGATCAGGTTAATTCACCTCTCTCATAGTATTTATTGCTCCATAAGGAAACGAAGCCCCTGTAAATTCTGCAGACCATTCTTGATTTGTTTTCTTTTTAATTACATCTCTAAGGATTTCAAGTAATTCCGTTCTGTTTTTAACTCTAGCTATATTATTCTTGAACTTGTCATTAGTAGTAAGTTCTGACATTTGTAATCTTGTGACTAATTCCAGAAATTGTGCATCGCTCCCTACTCCAATCGTCATGTATCCATTTTTCGTGGGAAAGGCTTCGTAAGGAACTATGCTTTCGTGTTCAGATCCCCATCTTGTCGCCTCCTTGTTTGCATTTAAATAATTTGAAGCAATGTTAATCAGACTTGCGATTTGAGTCGACAAGAGATTACATTGTATCCACTGGCCTTTGTTGGTTTTCGATTTTTGTAGTAAAGCTGCCATAATTGCTCCATGAGCGTACAGGCCTGTTGCCAGATCAGTCATTGCTACGCCAACCTTGCACGGTGGTCCATCTTTCGGGCCGGTAATGTGCAAAAGACCGCCTAAGGAAGCAGCGACGACATCGTAACCCGGTCTATTTGCATATGGTCCACTGGATCCGTAACCAGTCAACGAGCAATAGATGAGACGTGGCGCTATCTTAGCCATATCTTCGTATCCTAAGCCCATGCTGCTCAGCTTTCCGGGCACATAATTCTCCATCAGGACGTCGCTTGTCTGTGCCAGCTCGTAAATAATATCCTTACCCTTCTTCAAATCGATGCAAACGCTTTTCTTATTTCTGTTGACGCTCATGAAATAAGTCGACTCCTGTGTTCTTTGGAAGAACGGCGGGCCCCACTTGCGTGACTCGTCCCCGCCGTCGGGTCGTTCGATCTTCAAGATCTCCGCACCGAGATCACCCAGGATCATTGTGCAGTAAGGACCGGCCACGATTCGCGTCAGATCCAGAATTCTTACTCCGTTCAACGGCGAACGATTCTCTTCAACGGCCGTGCAAAATTCACGTCCGCAACTTTTCAAATTTTTTGAAACACTTGACAAATATTTCTTGCTTCGCGCGCTAATTGCAAGTATTTTGCGCATCATATTGAAATTTTTAAAAACGAAGTTGGCAACTGTTACGTAGTGGGGTGCAACGTAATATATTTTAAAACGTAAACTAAATAGACACTATCTTCTTAATTAAACATCATTCAAAGGTTGATGCATTTGACCAAGAATAATGATTGTGAATTGAATTTTATTCATTACATTTCGAGCTGGAATGTTTCTATTTCTTTGTAAAAGTAATTAGTTTAATTTGTGCAATTTGAATATATCCAGTTACGACAGAGCAGGCATTTACACTTACGTTTCTTTTAATATTACTAAAAAGATATTGTACCAACAATAAGTGTCGTTTGTTAGAAAAACTGTTTGACAGAATGAAGATTTTAAAAAAATTTCAAATCCTAAGATATAGCAGCAGTTAGCAGTTGCAACACGTAATCGAACGCCTAACCTCGTCGTATCTACTAATATGACGCAGGTTTTCTGCGATCCAAGGAAAGATTCTTTCGACAACGCGAGTCGAACGTCGGACTGTCAAGAGACTGTCAAGATATGATAAGATGAGTAGGTCATGCTTATTTTAATCTCGATAAACAATTCGTATCGCGTCGAGACAAAAAAGACTTACAATTAGTACCTCGCGACGCGACGCGACATTTAGGATCCTATAACGAATATTTGACGAATACCTGCGATCCGGAATCGGTGACGTCTGGCTCGGAGATTGTTTCCGTTTGCGTCTGCGAAGCCGTCTGCTCCGACATCGTTCTCTCCATGTGTTGCGATTGACGGCACGATACCCTTGAGCGCGAGGGATGACGAGGGTGGGTGAGGGTTTGCGTACGTAGGTAACGCAGGTTACAAACGTAACCCAACGTAACCTATGCTCATCTATTCTACCTCAGCTATGTTCAGTTACGTTACGCGAACATCGTGAACCCTCCCTATTACTGCAGTGTTGCCAAATTAATATCAATTGACACTATATACTGGCAGTACCAATTTTTTTTCCTTTTTATAGACGAGAATTGACTTTGAATATTTTTTTGCGCTAATTTTTTGCTGTCTCGTTTTAAACGTCTCGACTTTTTCATCAATTTTTTTAAAGTCTTTTAAAGTCTTAGATAAGAGGTTTAATGAATTTCTTTGCCACAGAATTTTGTATGATCTCTGATGCTTCAATTAAGTATTGAAATATTTAAAGTTACTTCTTCCAGGCATCTGTGGAAAATGAGTACATTATGCCCTCATGTGTAAATTCGTATACCAACAATTTTATGATGTATTATTAATTTGTTTTTTATGCATACATTTGGTATTTTCTCTTCAACTCTAATATTTGTGTATATCTAGCTTATTTAAGTATAGAAAATATAACAATGCAACTCGAAAGAACAGAAGAAATATTTACAATTTGAATTCAGTTTTATTTACAATTTTACATGCTGTATTTTCAAATATATTTGATTACTTAAATTTATAAATTTACTTTATATCATAGGATATCCAAAGTAAAAAAAAATTCTATTTTGAATTCAAATTAGATCCTAAAAATGGGTTTTACATAGAATATTTAAATTTTGATATCAAAATCCAGAAAATGTCAAATTTCGAATAAAATGTAATTCTATAAAAAATTTTTAATAAATCGTATTGTTTTCTGCGACATAATAAATTCGGATAATAAAACCGGATATCTCATTTGTGCCTAATATTAACAGTTTTATATTTTTGAAAATATATTGATAGACGTGATTGTTAAATTAATAAATCATTTTGATCACATTTTCGTGTTTCCAGGAAAATTAGAAAATGCTATTTATATGTATTAGAGAATGTAAAAAGAATAAATATACAAAATGTTGGATTATATAAATATATTCATTTCAAGAATGTTGAGTGTCAGATGTTACAATCTCTATTTTTCAACTGTTAACTTTTAAAGATGCTGCTGTAAAAATCATCGTAATTTGTCAAAGAATTGCTCCAATTATTCCTACGTTATATTTAATCCAGCTGTAAAAAGAATAAATAAGATATATTTAGGTATGATTAGATATCTTATTTTATTTCAACTACGTTCAATTTCGTCGCTCACATGTTATGAGCTTTGTTCTATTTTCCTTTCCCAAGTAACGAGTGATAATAATAGAATGAAAGTTACAGCAAATTGAAACCGAACGCAGCCTTTATAAAGTAGCAACGAAATGGACTGATATTTTTTTACCTTCTTGAAACCAATATCGGCTGCATATTCTCTAAAGCACTGTCGACAGATGTTCAGACCGTATTTACGAATAAGCCCATGTCTATTTGCACAAGCGCGGCTGCAATGAAATCAATTTTATTCAATTACACAATAAATATATTCGCATCTAACCTATACAATAAACATAATAAGCATAATAAATATTAAATTGATTCGAAATTAATACATCTATTCGTTATCTGTAATTATTTCATTTCCTACATTTGAAATATTTAGGGAAAAAACAAGAGGAACAATTTTAATAAATTGCAATTAAAATAATCCATCCCTTTAACGTGCTTTTTTGAGGTTAGAATGCATATTTAAATGTATGTTTGCATAGAAGATGGTTAATAACAACAATACATAACAACAACAATAATACATACATATTACATTATTTTAAATTTTAATTTTTTCATCAAGTTTTTTGCTTTAAATCAAGTTTTTGTATCAAAAAATACTGTATAGACATTCATGAGGACGCCACGCGATCGCTCTATTCTTCAAGCCAAGTATAAATAATCGCTAATGAAGACTAGCGAGAACAAAAAGAACATTATACTAACCAGGATCGAGATCCTTGACCGTATTTTCGTGGATGTGAATACCAAATATTCTGAAAACCCATATTTACACGTTTTACGTCTTTTTTGCAACGCACTGCAACGAACCAACCAGAACCAACGCGTCTACGAACGTGAAAGACAGGAAAAGGAAATGAGCCAGGACGCCAGGACTGCCAAGAGTATAGGTTTGTCGCGTCGCAAGCTCCAACATGTTCCTACCGTAGCTCCTACTCACTCTATTAAGCGCGTTGGAGTGAATAAGAGCTATGGTAGGAGCATAATGGAACCTATTGGAGCATGCGACGCGAACAAACCTTAGAACTAGATTACTAGAAGGTAGAAGGGGCACTTGCTGTTGATTCTGAGTCCAGAATACTCCAGAAACCTCTTAAATCTAAGATTTGTTCGCGTTGCTTCAAATTGCCAAAATTTTTGGCAAAACTTAAAATGAGATAAATATATATTCGAGCATCGAAGAGAAAGAAAGCAAAGATCCTGAGTGCAAAAAGTGTAAGCAACGCGAACAGATCACTTATCTATGCAGCTACCGGCGCCGGCGCGTTCAATCACGTGATCACTAATGAACGAAGGCGCTTATATTTGGAATGCATATAAATCTACGTTTTCTTTTATTTACATAGATACACAAGTTATTATAAGTACCAAATAATTGTTTATTATATTAAAAAGTATAGTAAAAAAATTATTAAAATTTTATTATAGAGCGCGCGAATATATCAATAAAAGAGTGGAAAGTTTATGAAATTACGTTTTTTAAATAGATCGAAAAAAAAAAAACATTAACACTATAATTAATATTTAGAAATATTAATATCAGTAACATAATATTTACGTAAACTTATATATTCAAGATATATAAATTATTTTTGTATTTATTTACATATATATATATATATATAAATATAACCTAGGCCCAGTTGCACTAACGTTACTTTGACTTTAAGCAAAGTTTAAAACTCTGTCTCTGTCTCTCCTTCGCTTTAAAACGAGACAGAGAGAATTTTGTCTTGCTTAAAGTCAAAGTAACGTTGATGCAACCGCGCGGGCCTTAGAATTATTTATTTTAATTTTTTCACAAATATTATGAAATTTTAGATTCAAAAGGAACTAGTATTTATTGCAATTTCTCATAAGAAAAATAAAATTTTTTATTATTATTAAACAAAAATCTTATTATACAGTTATTAGAGAGAAATTCTGTCATCAGAAAACTTCATCAATGAAAGTAATCATTAAATACTGTAAAAAATAATCATTAAATTTTTTATCATTTTTTTAGATTTGAATCGTTTGTAAGTCTTATGTAAAAAATTGCGTATTTATATATTTTATTGGATAACATATATTTTTTTTAAATCATCTCCGCCAAAATATTCATTGACTTTATAAACATTTTATATATAAGATTGATGACTATTTTATACAACTTATCAAAATCTTAGATAAAATAATTAAAAGATTACAAAAAATATGAATTGATGTTCACATAACAGTTTTCCGAGGGACGTACTGGCGACGTTCTTAGGATGTAGATTATCCTCTAGACGTCCTTGGAACTTCCCTCAGAGAATTGTGTTGTGTAGATAAATATAAAAAAAATATAAGTAAGATGCAACTATGATTTTAAGCGGTTTATTGCGTTTTAATAAGATATAAAAATTTATAGATATTAGGAATTACTAATTATATCTATAAATTAGTAATAAATCAAAATTTATGTTTATAAAATCAATATGTTAAAATCAATTATACTAACATCATTAATTTGAAAATGTTTATTCCTAAAATAAAAAAATTATTTATAAAAATAATTTTTTGAATTTGAAAGTGTTTATTTCTAATAATTTTTACGATGAACGTCGTGTCACAGATTGTAGTTACGTAAAGAGAAACCGGTTTTTCATGGTTCTCCCATGTGGAAGGCGGTTTGCGAAGCGGGGATGAGTTGCAACGGTACATACTTTCACATGTGAATGATGTGCATTTCATTGTTCAAAAGTAAATTTCTTGCGGACAGATGAATTAATTTTAGTCTCACTTAAATCAAAATAATATTATGTCAGATGAAAAGAAACTTGGAAAAGAGCAAGATAAAAAGGTACGAAATGCAAAAACTATTTAGATTTATTTTTATTAGTGACGAATTGATATATAAGTCAGTGTTGTAGACAGAAGAGAGAACAGTAACTAAAGGTATATATATAAATCAATTTCTTTTTATTTAAAGATATTTACTAAAATTTTACTCAAATCATTTTAGTAGAATGAAGTACTAAAACTTTCATTTTTCTCACACTTTATCTTTAATTAGATTTAAAAAAGTTCTAACCGGATCGAAACAATATTGTATTACAGAAAGCATCATGTTTAATGAAGAAACAAATTATGAATTTGAAGACGAAGACAGTGCTGAAGATTATTTTATCTTCTGTAGTGGGTCCTCTGATTCTGTATGGCATATTTTTCATATATCTACGTTATCAAACGCATTTGAGACATCTGTTCGAGAGACCGATGATAATAAATGAAGTTAGGCCAAAGTTTTGGATCTACGCCAAGAGCAATGACACCAGTTACCTGAAGCATGTGTATTCAGTACTCCAACGACTCGGCTTCCAGGAAGGCAATAATAAATCTGATTGGGATCTGTTGTGGGCTCACGATTATCCTTTTCGTGTGTTGTCCGCGAGCTTAAATAAATTGCAACAACATCAGCGAGTCAATCACTTCCCCGGTTGCGGTTACATCACGAATAAAGTAGACTTGTCGACGTCGCACAGCGGTCGGTATATCCCAGCAGCATTCAAGATGCCTGAAGACCAGCAAGCTTTCATCGATTATGCCAAATTGAATCCCGCAAAGCTGTTTGTACAGAAGTCGAACGATCATCGCGGCATCCGCATTCGCGACAGTAGCGATACAAATTTTACTGCCGGCACATTCGTCCAAGAGTTTATCGAGCGACCGTTCCTTGTGGATGGCTACAAGTTCGATATTGGCGTGTACACCGTCATCACCTCTGTGGATCCGCTGCGGGTGTACGTTTACAAGGGCGATGTGCTGTTCCGCTTCTGTCCAATCGAGTACTATCCGTTTGATCCGGAGATTCTGGATAAATATGTGGTTGGCGATGATTATCTGCCGATTTGGAACGTGCCATCCTTGAAGAGATACTATGTCGAACTCGGATACTCGATGAAGGACTCATTTGATGCATACGTCAGGGAGCAAGGAAAAAATCCGACAGAAATGTGGAACCGAGCGTATGACGCTATTCGGGAGGTCGCTCTGATGAAGGAGGCGCAAATCAGAGAAGTCTCCAAGCGCTTCGGCAATGGCAGAAATTTCTTTGAGCTTGTAAGATTCGACTTGGCCCTTGATGAGGACTTGAATGTCTACATGATGGAAGCAAACATGTCACCGAACCTGTCTTCCGCGCATTATCCTCCGAATCAGTTATTATATGAGCAAGTCATATTCAATACATTTGCGTTGGTTGGTATCGCCAAGAGAATCAGAAAAGAATCCTTGAGAATAAGGTAAATATATCAAAAGACATCAAGATTCTTATAAGTATATAGCTATTTCTAGAAATGTACTTCTATCCATCTAAAAAAATATACAAATAGAATTATTTACATAAAAAAAGATATTTTATTTATTGGTATATTAATATTATTATTATAGAAATAAAAAGGAGGAAGAGATGGAAATAGCAAATAAAAATATCGTAGTGCTACCGGAACTCTGTAAAAAATGTGATAATGACTGCTTTCGCATAGAGTGTCAATTGTGCCGACCGTGTTTCACATCAGAAATAAAACTCATTTTATCACAGAGTTATCTCGAGCATCAAAATCGAATGGATTTTCAAAGAATTTTCCCACCATCTATAGTAAGTCGTACTTTTTCGTTTAACTAATCGGCTGGATTGTAATTGAATAAATTTTTTACAGACAAGGGATATGATGCTAAATAACTACACACTAAGAAATCAATTACTTATTAGATGGTACCAAGGAAAATGTGAATTAGACAAGACATGGTGCAGTTGATCATATGATCAAATCAAAAGTATGTCACGTAAGTCCTATGTAATATTTATTTCAAATATATGAAACTGTATATATAATGTATAAATGAATAAGATATCACTATGATATGAAAATTGTTTAACACGTACATGTAAGGGTGCGTCCAGACTGAATACACCCTAAAGTGAAAACGCGCGAATGTTAAATTTAATAATATTAGTATTATTCTATTTGTACATTGTACATTTAGAATGTAAAAAAATCAAACTTATTGTTAGTGCAATAAAATTATGTGTTGGAGCAGCGTATTATATGCTCAATTATAGAAAACATACTTTATATTCGTGTATAATATACCAAATGAATATATATAAAAAGTTTCACATGTTAATGTAGAATTAAAAAAAAATTGTAAAATTATTTGTTCTCTGTGTGTGTTGACGAAGTTCCTTTAGTATTACGACCTTTTTTGACTTTTGATTCAGGCGCATTTGGATTGACACCTTTATAAAAATCTTGGAGCAACCTCATGGCTTTCTCTCCTTTTATATTTCCTTGTATCATTATTTTTGAATCGTAAAACTTCGGTACTTCGAGAACACTGATACAACCACCAAATCGATCGTTCGCACAGCCATATACAATACTGCGTATTTGTAGTTGAAGCAATGCCGACATACACATTATGCATGGCTCTACCGTGACAATTACATCTAGATTACGAAACACCGTTTCATAGTCCACGCATTTCTCCTTACAGAACTTTAAGACTTGGTCGATGCAATTTATCTCAGCATGACGAGTTGCATTACAAGTTTCATTTACTGTATTATTGCCCGTTGCAATTACTTGATTGTTATATATAAATAAACAACCAACCGGGACTTCACCGGCTTTTAAAGATTCCTCAGCTTTTTGTAATGCAACATCCATCCATGCCGAAGTATCCATAATAAATACCATCAATTATTATATTATATGCTGGCGAGATATTTTTAAAATCAATATTAAAGACAGTTTTCTATAAAATTATTAACTCTTTCATGACTTAATCTTCATAAAAAAAATGTTATCTTAAAATAAAAAAAAGAATGCTATCTGATGTTTATATCTTTAAAAATAATAGTATCTTATGCAAAAGAAAAATTAAACAGCAGTACTTGCTTTCTCAAAATATTTAAGTAATTCCAATTCATTTAGTCGCTGCTTAGCCGTTTCATTCCAATTTTGATTACCTACAACTCTTGGACTGGGATGTCGCAGAACCATCACCTGAAAAAGCCGTTGTACAAGTTAATATAAATCTTGTATTATATATGTTATTACTATTAAAATACTGCGGTATGTTACCTGTACTGGAAGACCTCCTGTTTGGACTGCAATCTGTGCTCTTTTTTCGGCGTAGTTGCCAATGCCAACAACGATCTCTACTTTTAGGAGTTGTATTATATCCAGCAGGGATTTGTCACAAGCCTCATGTAAAATCCTTTGTCCTTCACCCTGAAAAGTACAGAATAATTCAGCATAAGAAGAAAGGAATATAACAGGATAAATATTGCCTTTATTTCTTTATCTGCCGGTGTGATGTTTCGAGCTCTGCCATCCATGAATGCCAATGGGCAATAATTGTGTATGTATGCATATCGGAAAAAGTTCTCGGGATTTCCACACAGATCTCGAAAGAGGCCCCACAATCTTTGTCCGCTAATCTCACTGCGTGTACATTGGAATCCTATCACCTTTCGTTCGGGATGTTCTTTTGAGGGTTTGCCAACAGGACCAGAGATTTTGAGCCAATCGCGCACCATATTTATTTCTCCAAATGGCACACCGGTTTGCGACATGCCCCATGGTCCAGGATTCATACCAATGAACAAGATCTTTTTTATGCCAGTACAATACTTGTGTACATACATGGCATGTGTTTCAAACGCATATTCGAGTGGATTGTAAATATATTGTATGGATGGTGGAAAAGTAATATCTTGCAATTTGGTACAAAGCTCTTGTTCAATCGATAACAATCTATCAGAAATAAATGCAGATATTGTAGACGTGTGTCCAACCGCAGTTCCATTTTCTTCTGTACTAGAATCAGGCTTAGAGGTATGCTTAATTGTATCTTCTTTTGCTTTCATGTCAGAAACAGGTTCAGATATGGCAGATGTATGTTCCTTTATATCCTTTTTAATTCCTAAAGTCGTTTGTATTTGTGTCATATAATTTACATTTGAATTAGATCGTTTAAGTTTTTTTTCGCTCGACAAATCGTCACTTTTTGCTCTAGTTCTCTTTGTACGAGGCATAATTACTTTGGTAATTATGGAGGAGACGGTCGACCTCACCGATTTTAATGAAATTAGGCTCATTCGACTATTTTTTGTGTGAAATGAAGGAATCTGGCATAAAAAAGTGTCGCTCTGTCCCGCGAACCGAGATATTTAGCTTTAAAGTTGCCGACTATGTAGAGGTTAGGAAATCTATCATGCCGCTACATGTAGTGCACGAGATGCCCCCCCCCTTTTTTTTTTATGCTTTCTGACCTCATGCGCATGCGCGGTTACGTTTCGGTCCGACAGAGTACACGAAATTTAAAATCAAATTAAAGAATGAATTAGTTACTCGTGCACAATGTTTCTATCATACATAGTTGTATTCCAAATAAATCATAACCCATGTGGACAGTGGAGTGTGTAGATAGTAATGCTTGGGTTCGGGGCGGCTACGCGGACTCTGTCTAGGCTGTAACTTCTACACGGTTAGGCCCCAGCGGGTAGGATGTTATTTTTTTTTGTTCGGGGCGGCGTAGCCATCTCCTCCATAATTACCATTACTTTTCGAGAGTCTGATATATGTAAAAATTCAAGAAAGAATTACTTAAATATTATTTTGAAATAAAATATTCAAGTTACATGTACAATTAGTAAACGGCCGTATTAATTAATGTATTAGTAATTTAAAAATATATAAAACACAACTCCAATGTTTTTTCAAGGTGTGGAATTATCAATAAAAAAAACTGTGTTCAACCCCTTCGAGATAACAGTAACTGCACAATATTTTTTGTAATTCCTCTTATCGAATGAACTGATAAACATCATCAACTACTGCAAGTACAGAGCCAGCAAAAACCAGGAAAACCATATTTGAGTATAACAATGCAGTTCTAATAAATCTATCTCTTTCTCTTTCGTTGTTTCATTCAAAATCTACGAAACGCATCCAAATGTTCCCGAGAATATTCCGTTATGCACAGGTATAGAAAGGAATCCTCTACTTCTACTCACCCCCGTTATCCCGCCAGGTGGTACGCACAGGTGGAATAAACACGCTGCAGTTGCACTTTTTAGATCTCGTTTCTTCCCACTTCTTTACAGAATTACATACATTCGTCCATTCGTCTCAGTTGAGTGTAGAAAGTGTATAAAGATACAACTAAAAAGTGAAATGGCACAAACCACTTGCGTCTAGTGCTGACATAACCTAACTTAACCTACACCCACAATACGCTGATGATCATTGATCGGAGCGATTCGAGCAATTGGAGTTCGGAAATTTGTGGAATTCAATCCCACGCATCGGATGCACTACATGCTCGATCATTACGTTATATGATTATATGATTACACCATTACGTTTTATGGTTATTTTATTGGCCGATCTGAAAAATAAAATCGATATCTGATGAGAGATCCTTATATCGTAAAGATTTTTAAACTCTAAAATGCTGAATTGATCTACTTTTTGTGAATAAAAGATGCCATTAATACGTGATCGTGCGAATTTATTTGAGTAGGTTTAAAGATTACATTCACATACACGTGAATTTTTACGTGCCGTATATCATGCATACATGTATATATGCCAGAAATTGTCGGAAATGGCGTCCGATAGACGAAGTACTCTGAAACGAAAATTAGTTGATACTGGAAGCGACTCGGACAATGAAACAGAAAGTGAGTATGTGTGCAATTTTGTACGATGTAGTACATTGTTGATTTAAATCAATACGTTCTAGATACATAACGATTTTAATGAAATGCAAAAAATTGCATACAGTTTGAGGTTAAATGGTGCTTGCCACGATTTTTCCTTGCCCTTACATGAATTTTTACAATAATACATTTACGGACGTTGATATATAATTGAAAAAGTAAAACGAGAAAGTAAAATAATCGATAGAGAAAGTAAAATAATCTCATATTCACTCTTTTTATTTATCACTTAAAGCATAACCTATAATATTGTTATCTCATAGGCGTATTTTTTTCTTATTGCAGAGACTGCAAAGCATATAAAAACAAAATCAGAGGCACCGCGATTGTGTCCATACTTGGACACGATTAATCGACAATTTCTTGATTTTGATTTTGAAAAATTGTGTTCTGTATCACTATCTAGGATCAATGTGTATGCTTGTCTGGTTTGCGGTAAATATTTCCAAGGCAGAGGCACTAATACTCATGCTTACACACATAGCGTGGCAGAGAGTCATCATGTTTTTCTTAATTTGCACACGCTCAAATTTTATTGTTTACCAGATAATTACGAGATAGTAGGTAGGTAAACTCATTTTTTGTCTTTGTTCTTCAGCAAGTAACATTTTACATGTTTATTAGATTCGTCTCTGGATGATATTAAGTATGTGTTAAATCCAACTTTTGATAAAATGCAAATAGCTCAACTAGACAAGAGCGATAAACAGTCTAGAGCAATCGATGGCTCTATGTATTCACCAGGAATAGTAGGAATGAATAACATAAAAGCAAATGATTACTGCAATGTCATTTTACAAGTAATGTAATTTATAATTTTAAATAAATTATATATATATATATTGATATTCTATGCATTTTGTCATCTTAATATTTTTTATAGGCGCTTTCACATGTTACACCTTTGAGAGATTTCTTTTTAAGAGAATCTAACTATGCTCATGTAAGAAGACCACCCGGTGATTCATCGTATCTCTTGGTACAAAGGTTTGGAGAACTTATGCGCAAATTATGGAACCCACGTAATTTTAAAGCGCACGTAAGCCCACACGAAATGCTGCAAGCGGTAGTCTTGTGGAGCAAGAAAAGGTTTCAGTTCACAGAGCAAGGTATGTAACAGATTTCCTCAACGTGTATGTTTTTTATGTGTTTTACCACAATATGTGATTGCGTTTAGGTGATCCTGTGGATTTTTTATCATGGTTCTTAAATGCTCTCCATCTGGCATTAAATGGTACAAAAAAGCGTGATTCTAGCATCATTTATAAAACATTTTTGGGTCATATGCGAATATATACACGAAAAATACCACCATTGGAATTAGAGGAGAGCCAAAGAAGCGAATTGTTACACACTGTGGAGTATGGTGAAACTGTGACGGAAAGTCCATTTTTATATCTCACTTGCGATCTTCCGCCACCTCCACTATTTAAAGATCAATTCACAGAGAATATTATTCCACAGGTCGGTATTTTGTTACACGCTTATAATATTGATCACATAAATGGAATGTAGCAAAGAAATAAAAAATCGCTTCTTTTATTCATCTAGGTAAATCTGTACACGCTCCTGAACAAATTTAACGCCGTTACTGAGAAAGAATATAAAACTTACAAGGAAAATTTCATGAAAAGATTTGAGATTACCGAACTGCCACCGTATCTTATACTTTACATAAAAGTAAGTCTTGTATTTACTATTCATTCGATGGCGTAACATCCTAAGACGGGACAAGGCCTCTCGTGAGGTTTTCGTAACAGTGGATTATTTTCCGTAATTAAGTTGTTAGCCTAAGGCTGGCCTCCCATGGAGCGGAAATTTACAGCGGAACGAAACAGCGTGACCAATCACAACTCTGCAGTCATTGTTCTGCTTTTTTTACTGCGATTGTGATTGGTCGTGCTGTTCCGTTCTGCTGTAAATTTCTGCTCATGGAACGCCAGCCTAATATCCAATTTCCAGTTTAATGCCGGATCTGAACGGCGCTGATGATCAAAGATCTCTTAATCATCAGATGGAGTCATTTTCGGCTTCTTAAACGCGAAAAATCGTGTATGTGAGCGCAGGTGGGATTGAACCCGGATCTACAGATCGCGAGTTAATCGCACCGAGCGGCAAACCACTCGACGCCTCTGTATTTACTATTAGTGTCTGTATTATATTTTGTATTATTTGATAATTTTTTATTGGTTTCAGAGATTCACAAAAAATACATTCTTTGTTGAAAAAAATCCAACAATTGTGAATTTTCCTGTTAAGTCAGTATATAATATTCTCTCGTTTTATATAGTACCGTATATTAAAAAATTTATTAACAATATTTAATTATAAAATCTTGATTATGTTTATAGAAATGTTGATTTTGGAGATATTTTAACACCGGAAGTAAAAGCCAAGCATCCATATACAACGTATGACTTAGTAGCCAATATAGTACACGATGGCGAACCTGGACAAGGAACATATAGAGTTCATATTTTGCATAAAGCCACAGGCCAATGGTACGAATTGCAAGATTTGCACGTCACACAAATTTTACCCCAAATGATTACCCTTACCGAAGCATATGTACAGGTGAGTAAAAAGAAACGGTACTTGTTTCTTTGCAGTTTGCGACATTTAGATAATCATTATGTTTTTTTTTACAGATTTATGAATTAAGGAAAGACACGCACATGGAAAATGGAGACAGTAAAAATAAAAATGCTATGTGATACGCTTGAACAAAAGCTCGGAAATGTGAAAATAAAAAAGTTTACATTTTATCTATATAGACTTTGTCTTTTTCTAATATTTCCATAATAAGCTTATGATATTTTTCATTCTATTTAGTTTTATTTTTCTTCTCTGTCTCCATTAGTGATAGAAATTATTTTTGACGAGTTTCTTTACTTATTTATATGAATTATTATATTAATAGATTTTTTAAAAATTAGATTACTACAATATGCTTAGTTTTTTGATATTAAAAATTTGTTATCAATTTTATTATATAACGAAGAATGAGTGTTTTTTTTATATAATACATATATTGTAAATTATCTCTCTTTTTCTCTTGGAATTAAATACAATACAAGAAAGATTTCATTCTTCATGTGTAAAATTCAAACAGAACACGTGTATTCGTTTGGTTTGTGTTTCGAATTTGGGAGCGAGCGGCGCCGAGTGCTACCGAATAATACCGAACGGAATAAACAGCGGTATAAGCGGAATAAGAGAGAGACAGAGAAAGGCGAAGCTGCACGGAGATGCACGAGGCACGAGTCGGAGCAAGTCGGAGGTTTCGGAGTGGAGCTCGGGTTCGGGTTCGGCTTCGGATGTTCGGACTTTCGGAGTTGGTGTTGGGTTGGTGACGGAGCGGAGTTGGTCCGGAGTCGCGAGCGGGCACGCGCGACTGCAAGACATTGCGAGACGAGGCGAGAGACTGCGAGGCGAGGCGAAGCAATCGCGAGTGAACGTGTGTCGCGCGCGTCGCGTTCCCCGCGCTTTTCGTCCATGCGTCAGGACGTGCCTCTCTTCTCTTTTCTTGTTCCTTCGCTTGTTGCATCGCGTAGAATCGCGGTTCGCGTGCGCCATCACGAGCCTATGTATCATGCGTGTACTGCATCGCGCGTTGTTGTATTGAGAGTGAGTGTTCTGCGAGTATGATCGCGTTGTACGCATCTTTGTTGCATCCGTCACGTGGATTATCGCCGGCCCAACGAAACGGACGTCGCGTCGGGGGATTTTTGTTCGACTGTAAGTGGTGAGTGTACATTCTATTCTTGCGACAAAAAGCGACGAGAAGCGACGACATTTCGAATGCGGCCGCCTTCCACTATCCGTCTTTCGCGATGGCGCCGTCGCGCTTGCTCCGCAAAAGCGAGCGACGTTTCAAAACTCGCTGCCTGCGGCAACGGCAACGGTCGCGTCCTTCGCGCTCGACCTTCCCTTGCTTGCATTCGGTAGCGTCCAAATTCTCTCTCTCTCTCTCTCTCTCTCTCTCTCTCTCTCTCTTTCTTTCTCTCCCTTTTTGTTTCCTTCGGAGACTATATTTTCATATTTTATTCGCGCGCGGCGTCGTCGCAATTTCACGATGACGATATTCGTGAGCGAGGGTACTTTTACCTAACCTATCTACCCGTCTACCTCTCTCCTCGCGTCTTCGTCGTCTCGAGCGACGTCGAATACCTGTTTCGCGTGATGCTCGAAAAAACTGTTCGATCGCGTGGCTGCCGTCGCGCGGAGAACAGCGGAGAAGCAAGACGGTACGCGCGCTTGATTGCGGGAGACTAAACGGGACGAGGAGGACGACGGGCGGGAAGAGAGACGGGACGGTCCGTTGACTCTCTCGCGGAAGGATTCCGCGAGTTTCGGATTCCTAGCGTCCCGTGACCGCCGTGCTCGCTGTGCCCGCCGTGTGTCGCCGATGTAAACTCGTTTCTGCGCACGGCTGACGAACAAATAATCCGCGTCTGTATACATTTCCTGCTTATCTAAGATTTCAAAGTCGCAACATGCAGCTCTGATTCTTGCACGTGCATCTCGACACCCAGTGCATTAAAGGCGTGACTCGCCTATTTGAATATGATGACCGTTGCTCCTTGTTGCTCGATGTTGCTTTGTTAGATACTGGAATTTGTAACGCTTGAGCTACAAGATAAAATTCTACGTGAGAAATATAATTGCTAGTTGTGCAGTGTATGACAGTCTTCACCTTCGTTGTACGTTGCTTGACGCGAAATTAGTATTTACGAGATGTACTGTTACGAAAAAAAATCTGCAAAAAGCACTATATTTTGCATAGATATTGCTTGTACTCACGACACGTGATTCGAATACTGGTTAATGCAATTTAACGCACTGTTACAATCTAGATTTACATTATAGTGCTTACCAAAAATTGAACGATGTTAGAGATCAATGCTAAACAGAAATTGAATAACAAGTAGCGGCAGGGACAAAAATACAATACAATTAGGCAAAATTAGAAGTTGCGTTAAGAATAACGTATAAGTTGGCCTTGTATGATATCTCGGAAAGATGGTTTCGTAAAGATTTTCAGTATTAGATTTTTCTGACTTGATATATAAATTTATTTTCATATGTTTTTGATTATTTCACTATATAATAAAAATACTATTGCTTTTAATTATATACAGGGTGTCCCATAACTCACCTGACAACGCTCGTGGGCAAGTAGAGTGGACTAAACTGAGTCGAAAAGTCCTTTATTATTTTGTAATTTTCGCAATAGTTAACAAGATATTAATTACTAAAAATCGCTGAATATTGGTTTTCAATAATTTTTAATTCAAATACTATCAACTTTACAGAAAAACTGCAACAGACAAAAATCATTTATTTTCTTCTCATAAAGCTCTAAGAATTTTTTCAGAATTTTTTTAGAATTTTTTAATACCAGATTTTCATGAGATAGTAAAAATAAGAAAATGCAGTACTAAAAAGTTGATAAAAAATTCTGAAAAAATTCTTAGAGTTCTATGAGAAGAAAATAAACAATTTTTGTCTCTTGCAGTTTTTTTGTAAAATTGATAGTATTTGAGAAAAAAATTATTGAGATCCAATATTCGGCAATTTTTAGTAATTAATATCTTGTTAACTATTGCGAAAATTACAAAACAGTAGAGGACTTTTCGACTCAGTTTAGTCCGCTCTACCTGCCCACGAGCGTTGTCAGGTGAGTTATGGGACACCCTGTATATTATTCAATAACAAATGAGAGAGTATACAAACTTAATAGTATAACTAATATTATTAAGAATATGTACATAATATAATTCTACGTATGGCAGATTAGACAGATATTAAAAGAATTAATTTTATCTATTGCGCGGAGTTTACTTATTAATAGATAATTAATAGATAATTATAATTGGTCGAAAGTTATGTAGATAGATCTTGAATTAATTGTAAAATTTGTAAAAAGAAAACTGCTCGAGCGCTTCGATGAGTATAGATTTGTCCGAATAATCTTGGCACGTTTCTGAAGGTCAATTTTTACGTGGGTGTACGGCAATATTGTCTAATCACGTAACGTACGACATGAAGATTCGTCATCAAGTAGCATTCGCGGAAAGACAGACTCTTGACGATGATAACATTAATCACTCTGACATCTCAAGAGGAATTCTAATAAATGGAACAATATATGTACTGTTTAACTGTATTAAACAATTTTTGCTTATTTGTTTTATTTGCGAAAGAAATTCTCGGAATAACTCGCGAACACGCTTGTCTGAAATTATTAATTAATTACAAAGACATTGCGACATAATTTTTATTTAATTGCAATTTAATCTCTTAAAATTTTACTTAATAAACTTTGCTTAAAATATTTACTGGAATTTAAACAAGTTTAAGTTTTTGCCAAATTTTTTCCAGGTGTAAAAGGGAGAAAACGTTTTTAGTAACATATAGCAAGTCTCTTAGAAGCCGAATTGGTCATTTTTATTTATTTACTCCATTTCTTAAGTAAATTTCTTATTTTTAGTCCCTGAAAAGTACACGAATAGTTTATAACTTAATTTCTAGTTCATACTTGATAACTAAATTTCAATAAAATTTGTAATATTAATTTTTTTCTACTTTTTATTTGATAGAGTTGCTCAAGTTGATTTCTGAGAGACCCGTATGATTGTCTAATTGTCTTACTTATTGCTCAATTCGCAAGTTTGCAAGAGAATCAAATTAAGAAGTGTCGGATGTAACGTAACGTAATGTGAATCTAAATAGGATAAAGAAGGAAAATAAGGAAGCGTGAGACTTGCTTGAGTAAATCGCTGCAACAGCAGATGGGCCGACTATGCAACATATATGCGCGACTACGCGCACATGCGATTACCTGTAATTGAAACTGATGATATCTCGCGAAGCCGCGAATATATCGACGAATTGGGTTATACGAATCACGATTCCGTAGAAATCTCACATTGCGCGCATGCAGATGCGTCTTGAGTGTGACGATTAACGTTAACTCTAAGGCCATTTGATACATGCTTGAAAGTCGCTTACTTTTCGAGAGCAACTTTCGAACGACAGATTCGTGATAGACACGATATTGACAGCGATACTCGATTATCATATTCTCAAGAGGTTACCAAGAATAAAATTCTCAAGAGAGTATCCGTCTTAAGTGCAGCGGACTATATAGAGTTGAAATGTATAAAATGTTATGATGAAAGAGATGAGAGAAAATTTTTCAAACGTCGTTCGTGCACATTAATTTGATACTTTTTACGATACTTTGTATAATAATATTTATTAATATTTTTAATCGGATCTTTACTATTTATATAGTAGCAAAGTAAAGAGAGTATGATAGAAAGAAATTTTTATGTAAATTTTTCGTCTAATGCGTTTCGAACTTTTCGACGTGACCTAAAACTGTCAATGGAGCGGAACAAACAAGCGTAAATAATTGTCTTCCCCAAATTTTGGAATCTAGAGCGATCGTTTATGAAACTGATAATACTTTTCACAATTGGAGTCCAATGGATTTAACGTTCATTATTTTTTGTTTCGCAAAGAATGCAATCCTTTCTTTTTTGCGAAAATACTGCGAAATGAATAAACGATTATCGAACAGAAAGGACGTATCTCAATAATTTTTATGCCTCGTTATTTCTCGACGCATTGACTGAATTTCACATCAGACTTTTACTATAAATATAAAATCAGTTATCTATGATATACACATATATTTAAAAGACTTTTGTGGCATTCGAGACAAGTTCACGAGTGTCGATAATTTATTTTTTCTCGAGTGCTTTCTCCGTATGAAGAAAGAGCACTTTACGCGGTGATTAGGAGTTGAAGGGATGTCACGCATCCCGTAACTCATCGTGAATCGGATACAATGCATGGCATGAGGTACTATTCTCATTTACCGTAATGCACGACTACGGGATGAAAACAATGCGGCGCGCTGCCGTGCCTCGTCGGCTCGCAGACGTCGAAAAGAAAAAAAAAAGGGAATCTCGAGGCTGCCATCGCCGAGTTTGTATATTTGTTGTTTCGAGTTTCGACGAGACGTTAAATTTGTAACGCTTAGATGCAACTAACAATAAGACACGCCGATTGCAACGATGTGCAAAGACTGCGCAAAGCTATCCACGAGGACCTATTCGCACTCTTGTGGTGCTCGATAAATATTGAAATGCTCTTGCTGAGAAAGATTTCGCGTGATTTCAAGAAACAGGTAATTCTACTGCTGAGATTCTACAGCACATATCGTGATGTGCTCGATATCCGTGCACGGTGCATCGCATTTCGGTATTCGTTAGATTTCTCGCGTGAGTCACATCAGAGAGATAAAATGCATTTTATTGATATTCTTGTTCTTATTCTCTTTTTACGAACATTCGGGAAATCGGTCCGTTCCTGCTTCAGAAAATCCCGAGGTTACCGCTTCACTTGGCCGAGACACAAGTTAGATTTTACGTAACTTTAGAACACACAGGCGGTACACGATAGTTTAATATTTTTAGTTTTTATCTAAAAATGTTTAATTTTTAAGTTGAAATTGTCGAATATCTCTTTCTTTTGCGTCTCCTCTGGATAATATTACACATTTAATGTGGTCATATCGGTTCTTGTTCGCCAGGAAAAGTTTACCGTATATTTTTGTCGAGTTAAATTTATAAGAATGACTATAGTATTTCGTTGCAACTTTTAGTTTTATGATAGTTTAGAGTCAACGCAAGCGCATGAATTACATTAGAATGCACCTGCAAGCACGTACAT